GGTAAGCAATACTATACTTTACTTTTTCGAAAATCATAATAAAATAAAATAAAAAATAACTGTCATAGCAGCAGTAAAAGAATGTTTGGATTTCAAATTGTCGAATATTTTCAAAAAAACCAGTATTTAACAAAATCGAATAAATTTCGTAATTGGTGGAAAGTGAAATATAAATGCTTTCACAGGCATCATAACATTTCATACAATTGCCTGAGCAGTTGAAAATTATCTTAAGACTGTCCAGCAGCGTATGAGTTTAAAGCGTTGTTGAAAAAAGTTAACACATATATGAACTTCAAACCCTTAATATATTTAATATGGGTTAAAAAATGCCGCCTGACTTATGTATATGTAAGTTGAGGCCAACTTTATGATCGAATAAATAACAACTTTAACTTTGGAGTGATTTAAGTATTCTACGCACTGGTCATATAACCATTAAACACATATCGATGTCAAATCAAATATCTTTATATGTATTTAGATTTAAAATAAAACCTTCTGCAATTGTTTTGTACCGTTTTTTTGAAATTCGCGCACGTTGTTGTGTCCATTGGCGGGGGCGTTGTGCCCTCGTTGTTCGATTCGACAAGTAGAAAAGTGTTGTAATTTGTTGTTGGGCATGTTATTCACGAGCAGTTTTCGATTCGAAGTCGATTTACGCACAGTGATATGAAGCGGGCCGTTACACTGATGTTTGAGAAATCCGCAATGTGTGTGTTTGTTGCTTTTGGCTGTTTTTGTCTTGGTGCTCTGGTTGCTTTGTTGTTTTTATTATTTCTGGCCCAATTATTGTGTAATAACAATTACCCAGGCACACACACACACACACATAGAGTTAATGAACGTCTTTTAAAGACGCTTCAAAGCTGAGAAAACAACAACACGCAATGTACAAATGTACATTGGCGCTGGCACCGATGACCTAGTGGGACATGTTAATGATGGATATGGCCAGATACGCTCAAGCAAGTAATAAAGCGTTTCATTTTACATTCACACACTCACAAACATGTATGATACATAATTGCAAAAACAAGAGTAAATAGCAAGACAGACGACAAAAAGATACCGAATATGGTAACAAAACAAAAAGTGCAAAAAGTGGCGGATCAGAAGAGCTTCAAGTCATTGCCATTTGCTAGACCACTGTACCTGACCCACTACCATGAGGATTGATGAGCCCTTTCGGACAACTCATTTAGAATGACAACTCAACCAGACAGCTCTTTAACTTCAGCTTCAACATCAACTTGCAACAGTTGCAACCGAAATGGGGTCAACACTCCAATTACCTGTGAAACGGAAAACAGAAAAAGTCAATTACGAAATCAATTGGTAAGAGACCTTCAGAGTCGACAACGGCTTCGCATCTTAAGACGCTGTGGCGGCGCAATAAACCAAATTAAAATCCAAAGTGACAGTCGCTGCCACACTACCACCACCACCACCAGCACCAGCAGCAGCAGCAGCAACACAATGCCCTCACTTGGGGCCACAGCTGAGATAGCTTCCTCAGCCCACCAAAGTTCGTGTCGAGCCATAGCCACAACTAAAGCCACAGATACTCATACTCAACAAGTACGCCAAGCACTCTTATTTGCAGGCAACCTGATAAAGATAAAACTAGAGAGACTACTGGAGGCTAACGCCTCGACTGTGGGATACTGTTACTCAATTTTTTTCTAAACAATAATGTTCCAACCGATCCTTGTAAAATGTCTTGACGGTAACTATGTTATGGTGTTTTCTATCTATGGGAATTATTCGCACTTTTTAAGAATCCCCAATTAAAAAAGCTGAATACCTTTAGAGACCTTTAAGAGCGTGATCCACCTGCTTAGCCAACTGGATTCATTTGATGAATTCTTACATTTGATGAGATGGTCTGATCATCGTCGATCGTTCATTCGATGGATCCTAAAATTAAGGAAGCTTTTTACCTTCAGAGGCCTAATAAAATGCAATGGTTTCCGTAATGGTCATTCAACTTCCGTGCTCTGATAATAATCCTAAAATTACAATCATTGGCCATAGGTCTTCTATATCTATATCTTCTATATAATAGTTTAGCTAACTCATTGGAGTTTTTAAGATGTTGTGTTACATATATCAAGGAGAAATTAGTATGCCCTTCTAGGCCAGTTTACGCTGCGGAGTGTATAAAAATAATTCAAAACACGAAAAATGATTTAACGCGTTGTCATTGAAGTCGAGTTTAGCTGCCTCGACGTCCAGTGGTCGTCGCCATCGTCTTCTTCCTCCTCGTCTTCATCGTGCTCGCTGTTGGTGTTGAGTGTTAAGTGTTGACTTTCATCTTGTGGGCTCCAGCTGTGTTACTGTTACTCTTGCGCTTGTAGAGCGCTCCAAAGAGCATTGTCGTGTTGCTGTTTGTTTCTGTTTCTGTTTTTGTTGCTGTCACGCAACACAACCAAACCCAACACTGCGCAGACGCAGCCGTAGCCGCAGCCGTAGCCGCAGCCGCAACCACACAGCCAATACCAAAGCTGCAAGGTCCTTCACGTTGAAGCGTGAAGGTTTCCAATGGCCTAACGCGCGCCCTTAAAGAGCACTGCGGTCAGGGCATTGCCGGTTTCTGTGTGAGTCTGTGGCCACAGTTTGCGAAAGTGCACTTCACTTTCGACAAAGTGCGTCGGTTGGTTGGCCAGTTGGAAGAGTTGGCGCTGGTGCTGGTGCTGGGGCTGCAGTCAAGAGTTGTAAACAAAGCTCATTTAACTCAACTTACTGCCACTTTTATTCAGTTTCATTTTCATCTGATTGCCAGTCGTTTTGTCTGTTTTACTGTTTACTTCGCTTTTTATTCGATGTGCGAATGTTGACATAATATTACACCAGTTGGCGAGCAATCACAACACAATATACATTTATGTATGTATATACATATGTATGTATGTTTTCCACTTTATTTCGAGTAATATCAGTTAATGGATTCACACACACTTGTGTGGGTTATTCTGCCTGGGAATTAAATTTCGGTACCTTTCACCGATTCTACTTGATCTATTTTTTCGACGGTAAAATTTAAAAAACCGGCACGAAAAATAATGAATCCTTAAGGTTCAGGTGGTCAATAGAACAAACTTAAAAACAAAGTATATGTTCATAAATTAGTTTGAATACTAATTTGAATTAGGAATACTTCATTAACCTTTAGAATACACAAAGCATTATGGGAGAAGTTATGTTATTTCTCTTATAGCATGATATAACATAACAGAAATGTTCAACAATGATAATTTAATATCCTGGAAATCTCAATCTCAATCGTTTGACCTGCAACTTCATTTGGTAGCAGGGTATATTCCGAGGGCCTGCATATTCAGAAAGATCTACTAGAACTTGAAGAACTCCCGCATTTCAAAACGTAAGACCAATGTAGCGTTTTAAAAAACAAGTACGTAATATTAATTTCGTTTTACGACAATAATTAGTAATAACGATAAGAAACACTGAAATGGAAATCCTTTTAAGGTGACTTCGTCCCTATATTCGGTATATTCAAGTGTCGATACTTCAATTAGTGAATACACTAAAAGTGTATATGCTAAATAGTCTTACTAAACATTCCACAAATTATAGTGGGGGAAACTTAAATTAGTTATTCTTCAGCCTTGGATTCCGGCCAATTCTGCATAACAGCTTTGACGAGACCGTGATTGCCAAATCCAAATCCAAACCCCAAATCCCTTCACTCACGCACATCTTTAGCTGCCAACGACCAGCTACAAACTTTTAATGTTGCTGATTTTTTTTTGCTATGGGATTCATTAAAAGCCTCCAACTCCCGCTACATATGTGGCCATCAAAAAAGGGGGCATAATCAAGCTTCGCCGACGAACGAAAACGAGAGCGTGAAGGTGAAACAAAACGAAAATTCGCATTATGATTATGGGATAATTTTAGTGTTTCTCGACTTCATTTGACTTTAATGCTCGCTGCTTCTTTCTCAGGTCGTTTTTGAAGCTCCCGCAAGCATATTTTACGACTTTACATTTGCCGCCCAACTTGTGAAACTCGCATTGTTTTACTTTATTAGACTCCTTGGGAGCTAGGCTACCAAGTAATTGTACCTACAGCCGGAGGGCTCCACATCAAAGTTACCATTTCCCAGCCCATTTCGCAATAGAGTGGCAGCTTCGAATTGGGTCGCATTTGTTTCAGTTTTACGAGTATTTGCTTTACAAGAAAATGAATGGGATTTGGGTGGAAGTCCACAATGAACTCGCCCCTAATATAAATATTTTATGGCCAGAAACCAGCCTAATCATTCTCATAGCTAAACAAAAGAAACAAATATACGAGAGGTGAAATGCAAATGCAAAATAAGCGCTGAGGCGATGCTGCAATGCTTGGTTACCTTAAAAATCGATTGGGAAAATCACTTCCTGGTCAATCGATGGCGCAAGCCAGCGGAAAACAGGCGCATAGACGCGCAGCGAGGAAAGTGACGAAGAAATTTGAAATGCAGCGAACAGCCAAAATCGTTAGCGACATTTAAGTTTTTTCTTTTATTTGTAGTTTGAAGTTTGTTTTAATGTGAGAAACAGAAACTCAAATGCAACAAACATTGCATGGAAGGCGGGTTGGTGAAGTTTCGGTTCCAGCAGCGGGATATGAAGTTGTCCGGCAAAAATAAGTTAATGATGAAGATACGCAGATGATGGTATGTGTATGAGTGTATGGTTGGTTGTAAGCTGTGTTTGTTGGCCATGATGAAGCAGACGCTGCCCGAAATATTGCCGACGAAGATACCCAAACAAAACAAAACGAACAACCAAAACCGAACGATCAGACGCTGAAGACGATGCCGCTGGCTATCGCGCTCGTGCGGCTGCGCAGCCGATGTGGCGACTATAAAGAGGGCTCGACCTGGCATTTGGAATGCATTCAGTCGCTGGTTTCCTATTCGAACGCAACTAAATTTATTTTATAATTTAAGTTTTACTTCTCCTCCCCACACACACACAAAACTCATTGCTATGAACTCCTTCTCAGTGGTAAGTAGGGGCGAAAGTGGATTACGCGATGGAATATGGCTAACCGAAGGCTAACCGTGGATTACAATTACATCTTCGCCTTCCAGTTCTTAGTGTTCGCTTTGGCAGCACTGGCCGCTGCGGAGCCTCCATCGGGCTACAATTATCCCCGAGGAGGCGGAGGTGGCGGTGGCGGCGGTTTCGGAGGCGGCTTTGGCGGTGGCTCTTCGTTCGGCGGTGGTGGCGGCGGAGGCGGTGGCTATCAGGCTGTCAGTGGAGGCTTCCAGACTTCTGAGGGTCAGAATGTCGATCCCCAGCTGTTGGAGCAAGTGCGTCAAATCCTTTTGAACGAGGAGAGCAAGCAGGGCGGCGGCGGCGGAGGTGGCGGTGGTGGTGGCGGATATCCAAGTGGTCCATCCTCCAGCTATGGTCCTCCATCCTCCAGCTACGGTGCGCCGGGTATCGGAGGCGGCGGCGGACGCGTCGTAGGCATCGATCTTGAAGGTGTTCGTCAGGCCATCCAGGTGGCACAATTCGCACAGCAGAGCACACAGAATGGTGGTGGTGGTGGTGGCGGTGGTGGTTACCCTAGTGCCCCGTCCGGTTCATACGGTGCCCCCTCAAGGCCCAGCGGCAGCTATGGTTCGCCCTTCTAAGCAACACTCTCACCCAAATGTAAATTTCGCTGCCAAATATGAAAACCGACGCAAAGGACGACTATAACTGACCATCCAGAGAACGAAAAAGAACGAACGACACCAACAACAACAACAACCACAACATCAATTTACGGAAATGTGGGTAATCCAATTATAAAGAATATACGCAACAAAGATCGGTTGCGCCACGCCTCTCATGTGCTCCTGAGTGAGAGCTTAGTTCGACTAGTGATGTGGAGTGAACGGTGGAGGTACGGTGTGGTGTTATGCGGTGGTTACAGCTTTGGCCACAGGTCCCTCGCCACTCCACCGTTTCCTTTTCTTTGCCCTTAAATCTCTTGTGCTGTCAACTCCTCCATAGACTCTTAACTCAGTGACTGTATTTCTCTCCAACCGAACTCTCAATTGAATTTCGCTCGGCTCGTAACCGAGTGGAGTTCGTATTTTAATTTTGTAAATAGTTTTTCATAATTTGTGTATCGACAGAAACAAAACAAACACCCCAGACAGTGTTATAACGCATTATTAGCTTGTAAGTGTTTTTATTTTATATGAAACAAACAAAGAAACAACAAAAAAAATATGAAAACAATAAAAAAAATAGTAAATTTTGTCACCGTTAAATTTCCCGATCTTTTATTTAAACTGAATGCAAGGCATATAGTACTACTCGTAAGTATACTATATAGCGCTAATATAGATAGGATTGTAAACCACGATGGAACTCAATTTATAAATTGTGGGAACCAATCAACACAGTTAGCTTTTTTTTAAAGCCTATGATAGTTCACCTACATACGAGGACAGATGAGAATCCTGTAGTCTGGGAAAATATGTACATTCTCGTATGAGTATTCTTTATTTTAAGGGAAGTTTAAGACTATTCATCAGTTGCTTGATATTATTGAGGCATAGGAATTGAAATTATCTCAAATCTTAAGGACATCTATATACATATGTATGTACATATGTTATTGCATAAATGTATTTGCTTTGAAATGACCTTTTACTTTCTGAAGACACACAATGCTGACAGAATGAGTTCAATTTGTTCTTCTTTGATTTTGGATCGTCATGTGAATCGCATTTGACCAATTAAATTGTTGTTGGCCTTATGTAACTGCAGTCGTGTTTTAAAGATGAAACCACAACAGCTCGAGCAGTTTCAAAAATCCTTTCACTTTTTCCATCTGGCGAGACAACGACCAGCCGTGGCACTTGCAGAGCGCTCATCAATACTTACAAGCTCGCAAGTGGAGGGGATGCAATGTGCTCAAGAAAGCCGCATTACGGCAGCGAGTCGTGGTCGCAACAGTGCTCATTACCTCGAAATTTCAAAAGATGCAGCAGACAAGCTCACTTTGGGCCATAATGCAGCGCCAGTCGGGTCTGCTAGTAACTACCAACATACAAACAAATTTGTATATACTTGTACTGTGTGTAAGTATTGCCGACAACGGTGCTGGAAGCAGCAGCAGCGGCAGAGCCACTTAACCAACAGTCGGCACCATTAACTTTTTCAATTAAATGCGTGCTGCGTTTTATGACCATCTGAATTGTTAATATTGTGCGACTACACACATCTACAAATATAGAAATACTTGCCTACACACTACTATGTACATACAGGCGTACATAACGAAGCGCTGCTTGGCTTTTCCAGCATATGAAGTCATATGACAAATTGCTTTTAAATGGGAAATTCAGAAAGAAAATATCCAAAACTAAGTTGATCGACCTCGGAAACGGTTTGATATTGCATTGTTGATTTTCTGCGATTGTACTACTTGTACTATGTTTGAAATCAAATGTGTGACACCACTGATTGTACAGGAAAGTTTATTCACATTGACCATATTTTCCACATTGATAACACGCATACTTTGTACATATGTATATTGCCGACACTAATCTTTCCCACTTCAAGACCTGCAAAATGCTTATCGCTGCAAATTTGCATATTCCTTAATGACTTCATGGGGACTTGGCACTTTGGCGCCATGAGTGTGAGTCACAGAAATGTGCATTTACTGCAACAATAAACCAATATATTCCTTTGAGATAGACTCTTCTTTGAATTAGTGCTGATTCTTAGAAGAAGACAAATTTATATTTATTTTCATAATTGACGGAAAAGAATTACTTCTCAACTACTTGTAATTCATGCAACTACATGTTAAGTAGATAGATAGATTTGAACTGAAAATGTTGCGATATACTTGTAGGTTCATTCAACGAACGAAAAACACTTCAATTTTCGTTTGTCTATGCACGTTTCTGACATAAAAGATAAGAGTATTTAAAATTATTAAAGTTATTGTGGCTCAAACGTTTAGAAAATTTAAAGTCTTGCCATAAAAATCCACCTGCATACATATATAAGCTTAGACAAAGACCGTGTCTCGAAATCTTCGAATAGATAACGACATCAACTACGAGTATGTACTCATATATCTATCTTCTGGCACGACGATAAGACAGCGCCAATGTCATACTTAAATATGACCTGGAACGCTTTTCCTATAAGTACACCTGCGGGTTTCAAACAATGCCTTGTTATTTGGAAGTAGCTTCAAGGTGTCAATTGAGAAAGTCGTTATTGCGCATGCTCAATAAAATCCACTCTAATTACGGATTTTGAAACTATATTGTAATTACTTGTACAAAACACAATAAAAATATGGTAAATACATATAAGTATCTGATATTTCAAATACTTTCAAACCGTTTTATATCAAAATTGTGTAAAAAAGACCATGTAAAAACAGAATTAGGTGTAATATGAAATATATTTACACGATATGAAAAATCATCGTTGCAATAATTTACTTTAAAATTTCTGCCCCTTTCCGTGATTCTTTAAAGTATTTTCATTATCTGCAAATCAATTTCAGTTTAAAGGCATTAGATTGTCGGTTCTATCCTGCGGATAAAATACACACTCCAGATAAACGAACAGTTAACTATCGTTTAACTATTAACAGAACGTGGAATAACAAAAATCTTGAAATCAACCGTTTAGGCGATGACCATTTTACATTAACAAGAAGTGTTAATGTGTTCTTAATTTAGAAATCGTTACGTTTATGATAACAAGCGTCGACTAAGAAATAGCTTGTCATCATCATAATATCTGACTTGGAAAGTGCTTATCATTCATGTAGGGGCAAACATTTGAATTACTTCACGGGCACTCAACGCGTTAAGCTGTTGACACATTGAGAATGAGTCGAAAAGCCACACCCTCCGCATCCATAAAAAAGATAAAGCAAATACTTGTACAACTGTCAAAAAATACAACCCGATAATTTATGAAAATGGAAAATTTTAGATTTAACGGAACCCTACTATATTTTTGGAGAATAGTCTAATGCGCACTGAAATCTTTTATTTAATGCCCCGCGGTATGACTGAAGGATGGAGTCCGGCAGCAAGGCCAGGAAGTCAAATACTTGGGTATTCTTTTAGACCCCAGAATCACTTTCAAGATGGGACTTCATCGCAACTATTTATAACAAACTGACAACTAAAGCTGGCCCAACTGAACTGGCTAATTGCCGACAACTCCAAAATGACACTAGGGTGCAAAACTATCAAAGCATCATCGTTTCTACATGGAGTTATGGCATCCAGATTGCTGCGACGTTGAGCCACAGACGGTCCATAATAAAGCCTCACGGACTATTACTGGTTGCTACTGGCACGTCCGAGGTTCTACGCTGCACCATGACCTAAATCTGAAGACCGTTGAGGCACAGATCAACCACCATATCAGCCGCTATATCGACCTGTTGACGATGCACCGCGACAGACTAGCCAGGCCCCTCTCCGACGAGCGCCCGATCGCCCGATAAAAAGAAGACAGCCGACTGATTAAACATTGTTTTTTTTTTTTTTGTCTTATTGTAATATGTAAAAGTATACTTTGTTAAGTTTGATCAGTTTGTGTTTGTTAAACAACAGAGTATTGCAGCCGCTTCTCTCCCAATTAAAATATTTAAAAAAAAACAAGTGTAGTAGAGTAGTACAAGTGACATGTATGTTAGAATTGGCGAAACGTCTGGCATATTTAAGTATCAAGACTCTTGTGTAATGCGAATAAGGTTGTAAGGTCACACCTGAAGAAAAAGGGACGGAATAATACAAGACTGCAAAAAAGAAGAAGCAACGCGCCTTTAATGATTGTCTCGCCCACACAAGTTAGCTTGAAGAAGTATATTGTTGACCCCAAAAAATTAATAATTATAATAATTCTTTACGGACTACTCCATACTGATTAAGATAATAGAAGGGATAGGCCAATAATAAAATAATCAGAAGAAACCCTTCTAGATCTGCTTATAACTTATACGAGGATTAGGCAGAATGTATGGTCATATTATTAACATTGTTGCCTCTTAATTATTATTGGGTTAACACGTCAATACACTTTAAGGCCTATTATAATTTTAAAAAGATTCTTGAATTATAATTCTTGAAACCGACTTAAATGATTTTCATAGAAAATCAAAAAACGATACGCACTAAAAGATCTACCGGAACCATTCCATCTTCATCCTATACTTCGTTTGTTGTTGCATACGAGTATTTAATATAATAAAGCGTGCAAATCAAAAAATGATAATACCGGAATATATAGGGTTTTTGTTATTAAAGGAGGAAACGCTCTTGCGTAGAGTATTTGCACTCAGAGGAATAAAAATCGTAATGGTGTGGCGTAATTCATTGAAAAGTAACGTTTTTATAGCTTTTCATACATAGACATTACAGATAAAGGAGGCTCCCCAGTCGCACTTATTAACATCTTCTATATATGATGGGTATGGGGTGCATTAAGACAGATAGAGATAAGACAGCCATTGTTGCGGTACTTAAGTCGGCGCTGGGTCTTCTAATTCATAAGTAGTCTAGCATCAACTAGACGGACTATTACGGTTTCGGCTCTCGGTTAAATACGCAAATCCTCTAAACGGTCTATTACGATTTTGGTTCTAAGTGTCGCGTTGTGTGAGATAAATGCAAAATATTAAAAGATCGTACAAAAGACAGAAACATAAGCCCAAGGAAGTGCACAAGAAATTCACATCATGTCGAATACTACTGCAGCTGTTACTGAAACCGCGACGGGTTTAACTTTTAATATCGTCGACTATATTGTTTTCACTCTCCTGTTGCTGTGTTCAGCGGGCATCGGTGTCTACTTTGGCTTCTTCAGCAAGGCCAAAAATACCACTGAGGAATATCTGAGAGGCGGCAAGAAGATGAAAACACTCCCCATTGCAATATCATTGGTTGCGAGGTTAGTAATGAAATCCTGGTCCCTCAACAAGAACATACATCTTGTACTTTCTTAAACTTTGGCCAAAGCGGTAGTAACTAGAAGTAGCGGTAGTATCTAGATGTGATTAGGTTCACGAATGGCGTCACAGAGCATCTTCCCGATGCCATTATCTCAGTAATCTTTACGAGGTGGCGCGAAAGGCTCATAAAAAATGGCTGCGGTGGCATTCCGCTGTTAAAATGTTTACTACCTTGTGTTATTACCATAATACAATACGCATGAGTGGTGAAATTTGAATATTTTCCATGGACTTATTAAAACAATAAATGTATTTAAGATTTTTTAAACAAAGCTAATTACTTGCGCAAAATACTGATCCCAGATCGTCAACTTATGACGACATTTTTTTGGTCCTAGTATTTTAAAAATATAAAAAATGTTCTAAGGCATCTTACTTGTATATATAACTTCCCATCATTGGTTCATAGACTTTAGAAAATTTATTGAGCCCTATTCAAAAGAAAATGAAGTGAACATTTTGAATGAGAATTAGTGCTTGAAGGTCAAGTTGAGAAACAATTATAGATGCGTCAAGCCATTAAGCAAGATAGACTTTGTTTTAAAAAGCGTAAAGGAAATATAGCTTCGATTCTGTTGAAGATAGAGAAGCTGATGTTTTGTTCCGTTTTTTTAAACTGTTTTAATGAGAGAGACATCATTTTGATTGAGTTCTTTTTTAAGCAAACGCATCCATTTTATAATAAAGAAACAATTACCACCCAAAAAGATATTAGGTGTTCAAGTACTTATAATGGGCAAAGACAATAGGTCTTTAGAAAAAAAAAACATAAATATGAATTAGCTTTTCACAATTAAATACCTGTGCTCTTTTTCAGCCAGCTATCCGGCATAGCAATAATGTCCATTCCCGCTGAATCTTATGCGTATGGATTTAACATCATATTCATGGTACTTGCAATGATTCCAACTGTGCCCATCTTGATATATGTAATCGTTCCGGTCTTCTATGAGAACAAAGTATCCAATTGCTATGAGGTAAGTGTTATTAGGTGCAGCAATATTTCCTCGTTTACACCAAACCCTTACATTTTCCATTTGTCTCCAGTATCTAGAATTGCGGTTTAACAAACGCACTCGACAACTAGTTACGGCAACTTTTGTCGGAAGCACATTTCTCATGCTTCCGGTATATATGTTCGTCCCCGCGCTGGCATTCTCGCAAGGTATGTGTAAATTGAAAGAGAATTCTTCTGTTGATCTCTGATAGCCCATTTCCTTTCCAGTGACGGGAATAAACATTCATCTTATCAACACAATGGTCTCCTCGATCTGCGTATTTTACACCATGTTGGGTGGAATAAAGGCCGTTGTGTGGACTGATGTTGTCCAAGGTGGCATTATGTTACTGTCGGTTGTTTTGGTGGGGGTGCTTGGCACTATACGCACAGGTGGACTTGGTACGGTCATTGATTACGCCTCGGAAGGTGGTCGGCTCAATTTTGAGTAGGTATTCATTTCAATTTATAATGAATTTATAGTAAAACCATTAAATTTGCTTCCGTAGCTTTCGGCTCGATCCTCGTATTAGAATGTCATTTTGGGGTGCCTTTAGCGGTGGTCTCTTCATGTGGATGGGCAAGGTGGGCATGGATCAGAGCTGTGTGCAGCGTATCGTATCTTTGCCGACGTATTTTCATGCTAAAAAGTAAGCCATATAATGATTTGATTCTTTTTGTCCCTGTTCTAACGTGTAATTGTTTCCAGATCCCTAATTATTGCTGGCATTGGATTTGTAACTATCATGTCTTTCAACTGTTTTGCTGGCATCATCATGTTTGCGCGCTACCATGGATGCGATCCCATGCTGGCTGGGGTAGGTCTTTACCCATTTTAAAACTGCTCTTTCGAAATTAAGTGCTTTATTTGTTGCCTTCAGCTGGTCAGCAAGCCGGACAAAATGATGCCGTTCTTTGTGCAGGATATTGTCGGCCACATTTCAGGAATGCCCGGCGTTTTCATATCCTGCGTCTTCAGCGCTGCACTGAGCACTCTATCTGCACACCTTAACTCCTTTGCAGGAGTGGTCTACTTCGATTACATCAAACCCAACATCCGGCACACCGAGGCTCGTGCCAATGCTACCATGAAACTGGTCGTCATTGGCATGGGAATCTACTGCATTGTGGGAGGCTATATAGTCCAGCAATTCAACTCCATCCTGCAGACAATGGTAACCATTACTGGCATAACTACTGGCTCAGTTGTAGGAGTCTTCCTGCTGGGCATGTGTGTGCCACGTGTGAATAGCAAGACAGCTATAACTGCCATATTATTCAGCGTGATTGTCATGATCTGGATTATACTCAAGGCCCAAATGAGCCTCAGGGCGGGACACATTAAGTACGAACCTTTACCTACCTCAATAGACCAATGTGAGGCACGCAATTTCCATGCGATCATAAGTGCAGTGTAAGTAACTGTTCTTCCAATTATTTGATCTTTTAAGGATTCATCTTACCTTGTCGTTTAATAACAGATCTGCCAGCAACACAACAGCTACAACTCCCGGAACCACAACTGCAACGCCTTTGATTACCGGTGCCTTCAGCAGCAATAGGGAGTTCTCAATCTTCGAGATATCATTCTATTGGTATAAATTTTTGGGCGCAGCACTCGTTTTTGTTTGGGCAATTCCCATGAGCTATGTTTGGCGTGACCAGGGGGAAAAACTAAATCCCAAGCTGTTCACACCGTTCGTGCGCAGATTCATTGCTGTACCCAATTCCGTACAAGAGTTGGAGGAGTTGCCACTAAAAGGGCCGTTGCCTAAGGACGCTACAGAATTAGAAATAGATGTGGCCGAAAGGAAGGAGGGCGTCTTAAGCCATCACTGATTCGTTTTATGAATTATAGTCAAGGCCAGTTTCTTTATGTTCAGTTAGCTTTAACAGCTTCATACCCTGAAGGATTCTCACATAGTAATGTCTCTAGAGAAAGTAATAATAATACTGTAAATAAAAAGGAAACCAATGAATAAAAATGTTTAAGAATTCTGTTTCAGAGCACTTATAAAAACAAGCAATTTAAATCTTTGCCATTGACGCACTTTTTAGCTTTTTTAAACTTAAAAAGTCGACTCATAATTCAGATGTCAAGAAATAAAGATTAGGTCGAAAATTATTCCCCAGTTGGTTTTACACTTCACATAGATGATAACATACTGATTTCTTGTCACTTTAAACAAGTTTAACTAGTTTTTGATATTGAAACTGGAAATAGTTAAATAAAGGAAGATTTTCTTTGCAGATTGAGGTGACGATCCAACTTTTTCGGACGCGTACTCTTTTATTTCTATATGAAATCTTTGCGCTGTCACTCGTACACATTTTTTTGTAGTGTCTATATTAGTATATAGTTTATACGTAGCACACAGAAGGAGGCATGGCAGACCCCAAAAATATATACAGTAATATTCGCAATCGGTATGACAAGACGAGCCGATATAGCAAGCATCTCAGTAGTACAAGAACTAGGTATTCAGGTGCCCCTAAGCATATTGATTTTTTATTTCTGGTATACCCCTGGAGCTGTTAGTTATTTTCCATAAATCTCACAAAATACAAATGGACACACGTAGGCGCAATCCCGATTTTAGACTCCCCCCGACCCTACTTGTAGTATTCCAGTTTTTCAGTTAAAAACGACTCTTGAACGAAAACACAAAAATCAAAATGAGAGAAACGGATATTAAAATTTCGATAAGCAATCCATTAAATCTCTGTTATTAGAGTAATGGTAATTTGCTTTATTCAAGCAATACAATATTTAAGAGCTTTACAATTAAATCTCTTGTGGTGTAGAAATAAAACACCTCGATCTCTTTTGTATTTTTAAAAGTTTTATTTACAAAAGAATATTTAAATGAAGAATTTCTTACATAGAAGGTATCCAGCTACGTACAAAACGGTTCTCACTACTATTTTTCAGTTACAAATTGTCCAAAATGTTCTCGCTTTTGTTTTGTTGTTTTATTTGCTCGTGTTTTTCATTGAAAAAAAATTACGAATTACTATGAACTCATCCCGTTTCGATCGTTTTCAATCGATCTCCACGTTGATACAATAGTTTCTTTTAAATCCATGCGAATTGCATGCGGAATACAATTGCTGCTCTATACGATGATATTGATCGACGACAAATACGGTGAATAATAGCTTTCATAATCGATCGGTCCAGTTTAAATTACATATAGTAAAACATTTAAATCTAAAATGCTTCAAATTGGCATTTTGTTTTTAACTTCGAAGCATTTAAGGGAAATCAAGAAGATTTGTAGAAACAAAAAATAAAGGGGGTTTTAATTTTAGTATTTATATATTATTATCGAACACTAAAATCTGTCGCAAACACCTCCACTAACGATTTACATTTAGTCGAACCGAACAAAGTCGACGAACTAATTCGCATGTGGATGGGCTGCTTAAGCGGGTTTCTTATTTCTTGTAATTTGTATGATGATAAAATCTTTTCTTCAGTTTTTGAGTTATGTCCAGATTGGTAAATTATTAAAATTAGACTTGCTTAAAGTTTAAAAACATCTATTTTACATACATTCTTGTAAATGTATTTGTGTCTCCAATTTAGTTTAGTGTACACATAAATACATATACATATTATTAATAGTAAGATGCATTTAACAATGTGTTCGGTTGTGTGTGGGTGGGTGGTAGCATGAGCGTATTAGTGCGTAAGTGCTTTTCTTGTTGGTGTTGTTATTGTTGTTTTTTTTTTGTCTGATTTTGTTGCGCTCAGTGTATTGATCTACGCACAAAGCTTCAGCTTACTGAAGCTGAAGCAACCGTTCTCAACCAAGGACTGGAAGACGCAGTGTTCAATTGATTGTAAACGAAGTACTAAGGATTTCAAACATTCGTGGCAAAGTACTGGGGTAGGCTAGTTTTTGAAAATGATTAGAATAGTGGGTATGTGTTTGGGTGTATCAAAGTGACGTCCTAATTACGGATATTCTAAATGTTTGCGTTTTGCCTGCGTCGAATCTAGTAAGAGATATACATATATTTGTACACACCCGACACGCAAATTAGTTATGATTTTCATCATGCTACCTAATTGCAGGCCTGCGGCGTTGCATGATTGTCACCATCCTCGGTTGTACTGTTCACAATTTTGGGCTCGCCTGCAAAATAAAATCATAATTATTTTATAGTCGCCATGGTATCTTCACACTCGCTTACCATTGTCATTTTGCTCATTTTTATTAGGTTCACTGTTGATAAGCGGTTCTTTAATAGCGGCCACTGATTCGGCCGGCTCCACAGCCACAGCATTGACATCGGCAATTGGCGCCTGCTTGCTTATGTCGTTGCTGGAGGCGTTTGCGACGGCGGTATTCAGCGCGTTGTTCGCTGCTGGGTTTGGTGTGCTATCTACGGCGGTGGCATTGGAATCAGTTGGGTCGGTCTGTGAGTCCTCTTTGACTGCTTCGGCTATTTTATCGGCTGCGCTTAGACTTGGTACAGAATCTGGGTCTGCAGCTACCACCACTGGAGGACACTCATCGGCGGGTATGGCATTAACAGCATCAGTGGTACTCTGGGAACTCGCATCAACATCCATTGGTTCGGGTGTTGGTTCCTTAGTAGAAACAGGAGCACGTTTCACGACTTCAGCTGCACTCTTCTTTTCTTCGGGTTTCTTCTCTTCAGCTTTTAATATTTCTGGTTCGGCTGCTTTGTCCGTTGTTGAGGAAGCAGAGTCAGCTTTCGTTTGCTCTTGTTGAACGGGTTTCTCAGTGTCTACATCCATTTTGACAGCATCTTCAGCAGAAGATTCAGCATCTTTAGGTGATTCTTTAATGGCTGCCACCTCCTCTGCTTTGGGCTCATTTGTTTCCGAATCGACTACATTTGCTTTTCCATGGTCAATGTTGTTTTGTTGCTCCTTCTCCGCCACCACAGCCGGCTCTTTCACCGCATCTGGTTGATCTGTAGATGATTCATCACTGGCCTTGGTTTCTTCTTTTTTGTCCTCATTTTGAGCGGGCTCTTCATCTTTAGTTTCATCGGCCTGCGTATAATACATAAAGTCAGAGAAATGAGGTAAATCTTTTAATTGGTTAACAAACCTTTGCCGTCTTGGATTCCTGCTCCTCTTCGGTTTGCTCCGCCTTGGACTGCTCAGATTCTTGGGCCACCGGCTCCTCCCCACCAACATCCAATTTTCGTGCACCTCGACCTCGTCCACCGCTCTTAGCAACCGCTGGAGACGTTCTTGCCTTTTTGCTGGGCGGTGGTGTAACGGTCTCAGCTCCACGTGTCGGTGTTCCACGCGTACTAGATCGCGTGCGGCGGCCACCTTCTAGTTCTAAACTGCCGCCCATGTTGCGTACAAGTTCCTCACTCTCCCGCTGAGCACGTTCAATAAACGAACGACGCTTTGGCGTTCGTTTCTGCAAGGAAAGATTGTTTCAAATATCATCAAATCGCAATATTGAAAACACATTCATACATATGTATGTATGTATATGAATGCATTAATAGATTTGGCGCCTATAAAAATTTAAGACATATACACGTACACATTTAATGGACGATCGGTCACAATATTGAGTTCAACTAATTAACTTTATATGAATATATGTATGTAAATAAGTAGCCCAATATTTGTTGAAGCAGGGAATTAAACATTAAACTAGAGCACAACGTATTGTATGTATGTACATACATACATATGTATGCACGAATGTTTTTGTGTACACACAATACAAGCGCACATTCAACACTTACATGCTTATATATGTATGACAAAGTACAGCAAACAACAAAAAGTCTATAAGAGAACAAGAAAAACAAAAACAAACGAGACGCGCAGCGGCAAAATGTGCAGGAAGTGAGCACAAAAGAGAATGCGCAATCACATATACATACACACAAACGTAGACTATTGCTTTGCCGGGGTGCGAGAGGCGAAGTTGAGAAAAGCGCGCGCACACGAGGGTAAGCGAAATTAACATAGATGGGCAATTCTACATACGTAGACAAATTACGATTTAAAATATATACATGCATATACATATATATATTCATAAACAATCGAGGGCAAAAGAGTCAAATCTAATGCACAAATATGTAATTGTATTAGATTATATTAAAAAACTACTGCCTAGGCAACCATTTAGCGTCTTCACAATAGTGCATGAACCTGGACAAAGTTTGCTCTTCCAGATAATTCTCTGTCTATGTTTGTATCTATGTGTACATGTAAGCACTTGTGTGAGTACGCGCTCGCTCTTATCGCACGGCCCTGTTAATTGTCACTACTTACGGGTGTTTTTTTCTCATCTGCTGCTGCCGGTTGGAGCGCAGTTTCCTCATCAATATTGGCTGGTGGGTCGGGCACCGTCTCTGTCTCCGGTTTCTGTATGCTTGTTTCGTCCGACATTTTTGCACCTGTTTTCACTATTGTGTATTGCTTTTCTTGAATGAGTTTTTATTGCAAAATTCAGTTATTTTGCAATTATAGAAATTTATTCTTGCCTATCAAGTTCTCTTATTCTCTCTTTCTCTTTACACTACCAGCAATGCAAGCAGGTAAATTTACGCACACATACACACACACGCCACGCTGAGCGTACCGTGAACGCGCAAAATTTTTATTTGTAATTTTTCCACCTTTAGACTAAAAACCAACAACTCAACTTATCGCTTTAAGTTGCAGGACAGTTTAAAATATGTTTTTCAGTATTTTTCAACAGTTAAAAACCACGTTTTACCACTTTTTTCAATATTTATTTATGGGCAGCCAACGTAACTCAACAACTGGACTAGCTTATCTTCTTCTTTAGCGCAAGTGTTGTAAGCGTGTGTTTTATGGCGGCCTTTCCTGGCAGTGTTGGAATATAAAAGCTACTATTGTGAACTCAGTGGGCGTTGCCAGACCAGGCATAAATATATTCCATCACAAAACTACATCAGCTGCTGAAGTCGAAAACACGCGAATCGTATTTTCTATTTATTAACAAATCATTTGGGGAAAAATGGTTCCACAGGAGCAAATCACTGCTATTGGCCACGTGCTTAACAATGCGGATCGCCCACTAAAGGAGCGTTTCCGTGCACTTTTTACATTAAAGAACATTGGCGGCGCATCAGCTATTGAAGCCATAAGCCAAGCTTTTAATGACGATTCTGCGCTTCTAAAACACGAGCTAGCGTACTGTCTGGGACAGATGCAGGACAAAAGAGCTTTGGACATACTAACAAAAGTGCTGGAGGACACAACACAGGAGCCGATGGTGAGACACGAAGCTGCTGAAGCCATGGGTGCCATCGGGGCCCCGGAAGTTTTGCACTTGCTGGAAAAGTACAAAAATGATCCAGTGGTTGAAGTGGCAGAGACGTGTTCTATTGCTCTGGACCGCGTGCGCTGGCTGCAAAGCGGTCAACAAATTGACGACAAAAATCCATATGCCTCCGTAGACCCATCGCCCCCTGTCGATGGTGACAAGAGTGTTGCCGATCTAAAAACCATATACTTGGATGCCAACCAGAGCCTTTTCGATCGGTACCGCGCAATGTTCAGCTTACGCAATCTTCGCACAGAAGAGAGTGTTTTGGCCATTGCTGAAGGACTAAAGGACTCGTCCGCTCTTTTCCGCCACGAAGTGGCCTTCGTGCTGGGCCAGCTGCAGGAGCCATGCAGCATACCGTATCTACAAAGCAATCTGGAGGATCGCCTAGAGAATGAGATGGTGCGTCATGAATGTGCCGAAGCGCTGGGCGCGATAGCAACAGATGATTGCATCGAGATACTCAATCGCTATGCAAATGATGATAAGCGTGTCGTAAAGGAAAGCTGCGTCATTGCTTTGGACATGTGCGAGTACGAGAATAGTCCCGAGTTTCAGTACGCCGATGGGCTAACAAAGCTCGACGGTACCAAATAATGTCCATATTTGTGTATGTACTATAATTGTAAATTGGCATTTAATCTGTATTATTGTTTACACAAGAAAATCTAATACATAAGTTGCAGATAAAAGCAAAAATGGACGTGATTCTTTAAACGTAATCTTAAATGAACGAAAGCACCAATGGACTAATGTACTTATATATAAACAAATTGTGTATATGTATATTTACATACATAGGTACATTTTAAGACAAATATATTTATAGATGAAGTTATTTGCAATGAAAAAATTAATTTGATTTATTTGCAATGAATATATATTATTTGATTTATTTGAAATAAATATATATTATTTGATTTAATTCCAATAAATATATATTTAATTTGTTGCAATTAATATACATTATTTGATCTAATTGCAATAAATATACATACATTATTTGATTTACTTCATTGAATGCCAAATTAATATATTTAAATTTATAACGAAATTTGACTGTGCGTTGTTTAAAAGTATGGCAAGTCTATACTATAAAGTAGTTACCAATTCGCCTTTTCGCCGTCACGTATATAGGTCTGTACTCTACTAACACACGGCGGCTTCTTAATACAATTTCATACACTCGCGATACCCGCTATACATACGTATTAACTATACTCATGATTGCCACATTACTTGTCTTCTATTCGCTGTTGACGGTCGTATATTCAGACAAAATGGCCAACAAGGAGCGCACTTTCATCATGGTCAAGCCTGACGGAGTCCAGCGGGGACTCGTTGGCAAAATCATCGAGCGCTTTGAGCAGAAAGGCTTCAGGCTGGTTGCCCTTAAATTCACTTGGGTGAGTAAACACCGACTAATTCAATTAGAAAAAATCAATAGGCCTGTATGCGTCTCTTTTGCAAACGGCGGTTTGAGGTTATGTGTGGATGCGCGTTGACATGTGTTTTAGAGGTCAATATATTGTTGAGTTCTAGCTATAATCGTCGATTTGGTTGCAGGCTTCCAAGGAGCTATTGGAAAAACATTATGCTGATCTGGCTGGCCGCCCTTTCTTCCCCGGTTTGGTCAACTACATGAACTCCGGTCCAGTGGTTCCCATGGTGTGGGAGGGCTTGAATGTAGTTAAGACTGGCCGTCAGATGCTGGGCGCAACCAACCCAGCTGATTCCTTGCCCGGCACTATTCGTGGTGATTTCTGCATCCAGGTGGGCCGCAATATCATCCACGGCTCGGATGCCGTTGAGTCGGCCAATAAGGAGATTGCTCTCTGGTTCGACGAGAAGGAGCTTATCCCATGGACCCCAGCTAGCAACGACTGGATTTACGAATAGAATAACACCTGTACAAGTGCAGAATCGGCATTTTTGTGTAATGCTCCTTAGTTAAGAAAACAGATTCTTTGAAAGAATAAAAAAATTCCGTATTTGGTGTAAAACTACTGATTATTCACGCCTAAACTGTGCCCACTGCTGTGCCGGGCTTAGCGGGGGAATCACCCATCCAACTGGAATGGAGCTGCCTTGCTCCCCAGTGCTTATGTAAGAATCCCAAATAAATCTGCAGAATACAATTTATTGTAACAATGCACATAGCATAGTTGGAAATGGACTTGCCGTTTTCGTAGTAGCTCGCTTCCATTTTGTTTTTTGTAAGCCAACCGTAGTGGCAATCGACTACCTCCAAAGATGACGGCCTCCCACTGCGATTCAAGATTCTGCGCTGCTGAGACAATAGCTGATGAATCACTCTCATTTTCCAATAGCACGCGCCTCCATGCCCTTCGCATATGGCTTACTTTAGATTTAATGACATTTTGGCTTCCGCCCCGAGCCACATAAAGCCGCTCCAGTAGCTCAAAGATGTGCAACACTTTTGTGGCATCGTAGCACTTGTTGAGTCGAACGTGTTGTTGTTGGGAGGGCACCAATATCGATGGCTCGTCTAGTTCCGACTTTGGTTCAACTACCAAAGTTGTTGCTGCTGTTAATTTTTTTAATTTTTGTTTTTTTTGCCGGTCGCGTCTTCGTCGATTCTTAATACGACGTCGGTGTTCGCTTGACTCTAGTTTATTCTGGTATCCACTCTCCTCTTGTTGAAGTCCTTGGGTTTCTTCGGTTCTATCTTGTAATGGCGCATTACTTGTGGAATCCAATTTGTCCAGATTTGATGTAATTTTATATTTTAAACTCGACTTTGTTTTATACATTTTGATGCCGGCATTTGATAGTGTTGAGTAACACATTGTAAAACATTTTAGCACACTGATAAATGAGTCATGTGCTGTTTATTTGTAATTCATTAAATAGATTCATTATGATAATGAAAAGGAAGTCATTGACAGTAAAACAGGGAACGTATATTGCTTATGGAATTGTTCATTGACAATGTTTAGCCCAGCGCGGCTTTGGCGTCTTTAAGCACCTCGGCTGCTTTTGTATACGCATCCGTTTCGTTGAGATCTTTCTCGTCCTGCAAGTACTTCTCCAGAACCTCAAACTCCTTCTGCAATCTATGAGAGACAAGACATAATAATTATGTATGTCTGATGACACATCTAGATAGTCACGCTCTTTTACTCATACCGTCTCTTTGAATCGGGCAACATCATTTGACACTCCTCGATGACCTCCTCCTGCTTTCGCAGGACATGCTCATCAGCGCCATCATTCCTGAACTTTTCCAGGCGTGCCCTTTCAATGTGCACCTCCTTCTCATACACGGTCTTCTCCTTGGTCAAACGCTTCACTACACCCGTTTTTATAACCAATTGCCTGATGCGTGGATCAGCCATAATTGAGCTTTTGGCCGGTTGATGTTGCGTCGAATAACGAAAATTAGTAATGCCTGTCTAAATCATCTACTGCAATTATTTTTGAATACCTTTACTTGGCAATTTTAGCCCAGCCGACTTGTGTTTTTATAAACACCCGCCGCCGATTAGACAGCGGGGGATAGAGTTGCCATCCCACAAAATGTTCCTATTCACAATGGTGACGCAAATATTAAGTAACGGATATTTGAGAAACGCAAATGGATATCAATCACTAGCGTTTTCTTATCTATAAACAAACTAAGTACAAACCATATAGCTTAAGATCCCGGCAGTCATATCTCTTCAAACCCAATTAGCTGTAAGTTTTAACTTTAAGTTAGCATTAAATAAATAAATACTACAAACCATAGTCTTGTCGATGCATTTTAACAATAACCTTCAATATAAAATTAAAATTCTATGACGTATGTGGTAATTTATGGTTAAGCTTTCTTTATTTTCATTTTACGTTTCTCAATTGTTTACAGTTTAAAAGTTCTTTCAAAGTTATGATAATCAAGACACGATCTCCCGTGTTCTTGAATTTCAATTGTGGTTATTATATTTATATTTCAATCATGGGTGTAGGTGTGTGTTTTAATGTGGATGAAGTTGTTTTAAGTGATAGCAATGGCAATGAGAAAACCGTTGATTGATTAAACGAGGCTCAAACGAACATTTAAAATGTTTTCAAAACCGCATGATTATGTTTTAAAGTATGTCGTTTTTGTAATACTTTTCAAGCATTTGTCTTTTTGTTTTTGGAACTGGGTGAAACGCAGTTGGTGAAATTTTGAATTCCTCACGAATGTAGTCTTATTAATGCATACAATAAATATATAGGGCTGGATGTAGATGTGGGTTTAAAACTAATTTTTTTGAAATAACTATCACTTTGTTTAATAGATTTTAAAGCGAATGTGACTCCGTCGTGCTGACTTATCAAAAGTATAAAAATGTTTAAAATCCATCCATCCGGTCAAAAAGATGTTGTCGATGGTGAAATGCCGTTGATAGGTGTGTGTCTGTGTTTTACGTTTCTACTTCTGTGTGCACTAGCAGCATCCACCGGCTAAGATTGCCTATGATTCGGCTTCCGGGCCGTTTCCTGCGAAAGGACTTCCGGTGGCGATACAAAATCAAATAGATGCAGTAGATAATGAATGCGAAAGTGGAGAGGACCCTGAAAGCATCCTGTCGAGGTGCCTTTGGTATGGCGATGGTGGCGTCTTCGTCAACACACGAAGATAGAGGCGGCATAGTGATGCTTGTGTTTAAAAACCGTTTGTTGCTGTCATCGGCATACGATTTGGAAAGTGAATTTCTTTTAATACGGTTGCTTCCGGTTTGGGATGTGTTCATTAACTGCTCTGCACTAAATCTGTCTATGAATATTATTATAACTTGTAGTAATTCTTTAATTTTATATATCAGCATGAAGCTTTTAATATTAGTTGATGTTTTGTTTCCAGCGCCATTCTTTAACGGCCTTCGCCTCTGTTGTGTTTGTCGAGTAAATATAATTTTTAAATGTGTTACGGTTTTCTGTTGAATTTGATGTTGTGTTTGGGTGTGGTATTCACTGTAGTTCTGCTGGCACCCTAGTTATTTCTTCTTCTGTGCCTTCTCAGCGGCTTTTGTCACTTTGCCCGAGGTCGTCTCTTTAAAGTTGACAGACTTAATGACGCCCACGGCAACAGTTTGACGCATGTCGCGCACTGCAAAGCGTCCCAGTGGCGGAAACTCTTGGAAGCTTTCGACACACAGAGGTTTGGTGGGCACCAGCATTATAATAGCTGCATCGCCCGACTTGATTGCCTTAGGATCGGTCTCAGTGGTCTTGCCGGTACGGCGGTCGCATTTCTCCTTGATTTCAGCAAACTTGCACGCTATATGAGCCGTGTGGCAATCCAAAACCGGAGTGTACCCATTCGCTATTTGGCCAGGATGGTTCAAAACAATCACCTGGGGTAGTAGTTAATCAAATATTAAAGATGCTACTAGCCTCAAAAGTCTTTGAAACCATGAAACCTACCTGGGCAGTGAAGTCGGATGCACCCCTTGGTGGATTGTTTTTCGAATCGCCAGCTACATAGCCACGACGCAACTCCTTCACGGAGACGTTCTTGACGTTGAAGCCGACGTTGTCGCCGGGCAACGCTTCGGTCAATGCCTCGTGATGCATTTCCACTGACTTTACCTCAGTGACCAAATTGACCGGCGCAAAGTTAACGACCATGCCTGTTGAAATGATAAAGAGGTTTATAATCTGTAATTTGTACACATATAGTAGATGGCTCACACTTGCACACATTAAAGGCTGGCAACACCTGCATATGACTCTATTTCTAAAGTATTCGATTTGAGATTGTTTTGCTAAAGCTTAATATTGCATAAATAATAAGTTTTCTATTCTTTTGTTCCAAAAAGCTCCAAACTGCAATCAGTTAGTAAGGCATTTTTTAAAATGGTTTCATATCATGTTTGATCCGATTTTATATTCATTTGATTGATGTAAAGATGTAAATCTTAAATTTACGGAACAGAAGTCCCTAGTTTTCTTTGTATTGGTTGATAAGTTCAAAAGTAAATGGAAATTGTTGTGAAGCAGTTTTAAAAATAATTATCTTCCAGTTCGGTCCTGTGAAGGGTTGCACCATGTGTCAGTTTTGTTCTTTGGTGTCAATGTGTTTGTTTTTATTTAAGTGGTAATTAGTATGCATATATTTCTGGGGCAGATGTATATTTCGCCACCCAAGTTTCTTCTAAAAAATGCATACGCACATTGAACTGACCGCCTACACAGGCCTCGTCGGTCAGTCCAGCCCACCCACACGTCGCCCACTTACCTGGCTTCAAAAGCCCAGTCTCAACACGTCCCACGGGTACGGTTCCGATGCCACCAATCTTGTACACATCCTGCAACGGCAAACGCAATGGCTTATCGGTGGGCCGCTGGGGCGGCATAATTGCGTCGAGGGCATCAATCAGACACTTGCCCTCCACCTTGCCTTCCTTGCGCTCCACTGTCCAGCCCTTAAACCAGGGCATCTTCTCCGAAGCCTCGAGCATGTTGTCGCCATGCCAGCCGGAAATGGGCACAAATGCCACAGAGGCAGGATTGTAGCCAATCTTTTTGATGTACGAAGATACCTCCTTCTTGATTTCCTCATAGCGGGCTTCGCTGTAGGGCGGCTCGGTGGAGTCCATCTTGTTGACGCCAACAATCAGCTGCTTGACACCCAAGGTAAAGGCCAACAGTGCATGTTCGCGTGTCTGACCGTTCTTAGAGATGCCAGCCTCGAACTCACCGGTGCCAGCAGCCACGATAAGAACGGCACAATCGGCCTGCGAAGTGCCCGTAATCATGTTCTTGATGAAATCTCGATGTCCAGGAGCATCAATAATGGTTACATAGTACTTGGCCGTTTCAAATTTCCATAGTGCAATGTCGATGGTTATGCCGCGCTCGCGCTCAGCCTTCAGCTTGTCCAGCACCCAAGCGTACTTGAAGGAACCCTTGCCCATTTCCTGAGCCTCCTTCTCGAACTTCTCAATGGTGCGCTTGTCGATGCCGCCGCACTTGTAAATCAAATGACCGGTAGTCGTTGATTTTCCAGAATCGACGTGGCCAATGACGACGATGTTTATATGAATTTTTTCCTTACCCATCGTGGAGAATTCGAAAAACGTACGTTCGCTTTATGCCGATAGCCTAGACATACACGGAAGCGGGAGTACAAACGAAAAGGGCCGAGAGGTATGTTATAGAGAAATGGGTACGAACGCAGAAGCCGAACATAGGCGTCAGGACATGCCCGACTACATAAAAGTGTGTGCGTGTGTCGTCTGTGTGCTTGTGGTGTAGACACGAAAATGTTGCAGCTATACGGAAAACTTGCAAGATTTCCGGGCAGACCCCAGACAACACACACACATAAGTACATTTACTACACAGCATATCAAGATAATGGCACTCACCTGATTCGTTAGATTCCAATGAGTTGCTTGATCCTGAAGGTTCAGAGACAGACTGACGTTATGTTCAACAGATAAAACTGAAAAGGAAAGGAAGGTTAGAGCTTAAAAACGAATCTTCCTTAGGAAAAACTAGATTCAATTCAATTTCATTTATCTTTTAACAATTAACATCGCAACTTTAGGTAATTTCATCAAAGAACATACTGCGAAAAATTGTAAAAATTCGTTTCAATAATTATGCGCAATTTTATTTATATATGTATATGCTTAGGCATTTAAACGCCCACAAACACACAGAGGATGAATGACTAAGTTGTCCGCACGATACGTCTGCTCGTTAGTAAATGCCCGGAAAATCTAGGAAAACTTTGTAGGTAAGCCTTACCTCGCTATACGAAAAATCGATAATGAACGCATACAAACGACGCGAGCTGGAATTGAAACGACAACACAGCCGACGATGCGACTTTTGCCGAACGAATGCCGACGATTGGATATCCCCATCTCACCCTACCACAAGCATTCTATGAGTTGTCGTAGGCAAGGGAAGAGCCCGGCACACGATTGGGCGTGTACACGGCTTTTGAGCCGGCTTATTGGCATAGGAGAAGGAGGGCAGAGCAGGAAAATTATATTCTATTAAATTAAAAAAAAAAAAAAAATTTAAAACAAACCATCTCCTATTTTGATGCGGCTGCAGCGAAGAAATTGGGAAAAGATCTGTGAAAATTAATCTGTGAGCATCGGTATGCAGGCCTCCGCTCACCGGCGTTTTTCTCTCTGCGCGTGCTGGCTGCTAGAAAATTCGCCATTCGAAAAGGGTGCAAGAAACATATGTATACAAACTTATTTATGTATAAGTATGTAGAAGAATAACACTAAATAAAGAAATGTAAATCATTAAATGATGTTGTGTGTAAAACAAATACAAAGAGAATGTGTCATGTGATCGGCTTGCAGGCTATAATAAGAGCAGGGTTTAAGAGCAAATATTGCCTTAGCCGAGCAAAGCGCATTGTTGTTGTCTAGGCAGTTGAGAAAAGGAAATGTCAAAGAACAAAAAGGAAGAGTAGAACGAGTAAGACAACGAGCCTCGAGAGAGCAGTGATGCAAGTCAGTCTGCTTCAAGAAGTCAAAGGCAACACTACCAGTGCGAATTGCTGTGCTCACGTAAAGAAAATGGCCGAACAGCGCGTCACGCCGCGCGAATTATCCAACCCTTCTCCGACATCAGAAGTGGGATCGGCCTCGCCCCAAAGACATTCTGACAATGATTGGCGAACTCTGTTTGAGTCACAGAATCGTAATTTTATGGAATTGATAAAAGTTATGCAAGTGCCATATGCAGAGTCTCATAAAGAAAAAATAATTGTGTTGCCAAAGTTCGACCCTGACGACACGAGCGCGGACGCGTCTGCATGGTGTAAAACAGCAGACATGATAATGTCCGAAAATCCCTTAGAAGGTAGTGCATTGGTCATCGCACTTAGCAGCTCCCTAAATGGAGGCGCATCGCAGTGGTTGTCCCAGATTTGCTATGCTGGAATAACCTGGCTTGAATTTAAGGAATTGTTTCTGCAGCGATACGAGGGTATAGAGACGCCAGCCGCCATTTTCTTAAACATTCTTAACGGCCGACCGAACGCAAACGAGTGTCTATCGGTGTATGCAAGCAGATTGGTGACGTCACTAATGACGAAATGGAAGCAAATGAGCGCAGAAGAAATAGCAGTCTCGTTCGTGCTGGCACATACCTCGCAAATTGATACGAGGCTGCAGCGTATGGCGTTTACAACGAACATCAAAACACGAAGCGAGCTCCAGCAGCAGTTGAAAGCATACGCTTTTGGTAAACGCAACGTGCAAATCACTTCGGAACACACATCTGGCCCCGAGAAGAAAAGGTACAAGTCGTCTTCTATTATGAAATGCCATTATTGTGAAAAACCTGGACACAAAATGGCAGAATGCCGCAAGAGGAAAATGGACGAGAGAAATGCACCGAGAACAAACCAGATGCAAAGCAATTCAGCAACAGCGAGAGAGCGAGGCGCAGTGACGTGTTTTAAATGTGGCAAGACTGGCCACATTTCAACGATGTGCACACGGGGACTAGAAGCAGCGAGCAAAAGCAACATACAAGAGAAGCGAGTAGATGTCTGCACAGTAATGGAACCAACGGGACTATTGTTGCAATTTGGTGAGCTCATTCCATTCTTCTTTGACTCGGGCGCCGAGTGCTCTTTGATAAAAGAGAAAATGGCAAATAAATTTGCTGGAAAGAGAATTTTCAGTACAGTTATGCTGAAAGGCATTGGTGAAAATTCCGTGTATAGTAATTTACAAATTCATACGACTGTTCAAATATGTGAGCATACTCTGGAAATATTATTTCATGTAGTATTGGATAAGTTTTTAAAGCACAATGTAATGGTTGGTCGTGAAATTTTGAGCCTTGGCTTCGGCGTTGCCATGGACGCTGAAAAGTTCAGTATTTATAAAACAAAGGCTGTCAACATTGTTTCAGATACAACAAATAGGTGCTATCTAGAACATTTAAATAATGATGAAGAATTAAGTGATGAAGACAGAAATAAATTGATAGAAATATGGCAACATTATGCTGAAAGATTTATAAGTGGCATACCAAAGAGTCGTGTAACAACAGGTGAACTAGAAATTCGTTTGATAGATCCAAACAAAATCGTGCAAAGGCGTCCATATAGACTTAGCGCAGATGAGAGAGAAATAGTGAGGAAACAAATAAAAGAGCTGTTAAAAGCTAATGTAATACGTCCGAGCTGTTCTCCGTTTGCCAGTCCGATGCTGCTAGTTAAAAAGAAAGATGGCAGTGACCGCCTATGCATTGATTATCGAGAGTTAAATGCCAATACTATAGCAGACAAATATCCACTGCCGTTGATATCGGATCAAATCAACAGACTGCGAGAAGGAAAATATTTTTCAAGTTTAGACATGGCTAGCGGATTTTACCAGGTTCCCATACATGCTGACTCAATTGAACGTACGGCATTTGTAACAGCTGAGGGTCAATACGAATTCTTATCCATGCCCTTCGGGTTAAAGAACGCCTCATCGGTATTTCAGCGAGCAATAACACGTGCCTTGGGTGAGCTGGCATACTCGTATGCCATTGTTTACATCGATGATGTTTTGATTGTAGCAGGCACTAAAGAAGAGGCATTTCATAGATTAAAGGTGGTATTGGAACTTCTGACCAACGCCGGATTTTCTTTCAATGTAAAGAAATGCACATTCCTCAAACCTAATGTTGAATATTTGGGTTATCAAGTCGAAGATGGTCAAATTAAACCTAATTCTCGGAAGATACATGCCTTGGCAGCGTTATCACAACCGCAATCAGTTACACAGCTGAGGCAATTTATAGGTTTGGCATCATACTTTCGACAATTTGTGCCACAATTTTCAGAGCAAATGAAGCCACTATATCACCTCACCTCCAAGAATGGTAGCTTCCATTGGAAGCCAGAACACGAGTGTATACGTCAAAAGATTATTACCATATTAACTAACGAGCCGGTTTTGATCATTTTTGATCCACAGTATCCCATAGAGCTGCACACTGATGCGAGCTCAGAAGGCTATGGAGCAATACTTATGCAAAAAGTAGAAGGCAAAACAAGGGTAGTCGAGTATTATAGCAAGTGCACAACCAGTACGGAATCCAAGTATCACTCGTACGAGTTGGAGACGCTAGCCGTATTTAATGCAGTTAAACATTTCCGTCATTATCTTCATGGAAAGAAATTTATAGTGTATACGGATTGTAACTCATTAAAGGCTAGTCGTTCCAAAATTGATTTAACTCCACGGGTGCATAGATGGTGGGCATATTTACAATCATTCGACTTCACAGTCGAATACAGGAAAGGGAATCGCATGTTGCATGCAGATTTTCTTTCAAGAAATCCTATCCCTGCTGAAGCAAAGACCGTCAAAAATATTACTGAGAAACGTGTAGACTTGGCTGAGCTGACTGACAATTGGCTGATTGCTGAACAACAGCGAGATCCAGATTTGTCTGTTTTAATTTCTAAATTGCACAATAATGAGCTTAATGAGGACATGGCAAGAACGTATGAAATGAGATCTGGTATACTGCATAGAAAGATTCAAAGAAATGGTAGAACGCGCTGCTTGCCAGTGGTACCAAGAGCATATAGGTGGTCCGTAATAAATCACGTACACGAAGCCATAATGCATTTAGGTTGGGAGAAAACATTAGATAAGGTATACACCTACTATTGGTTCGAGAATATGTCAAAATATGTGCGTAGGTTTGTAGAAAACTGTATAACGTGCAAGGTATCAAAGTCATCCTCGGGCAAGATTCAGGCAGAAATGCATCCGATACCCAAGGTGGAAATACCGTGGCATACAATACACATTGATATAAGTGGCAAACTAAGTGGCAAAAACGATTTGAAGGAGTATGTCATAGTACAAGTAGACGCATTTACTAAATTTGTTTACTTTTATCACACATTAAATTTGGACACGGAAAGTTGTATAAAAGCGGTCAAATCAGCAATATCCATTTTTGGCGTGCCTACGCGTATTATTGCTGATCAGGGTAGGAGCTTTGCCAGCGCCGCTTTTCGAGAATTTTGTTCATCACAAAACGTTAATTTACATTTGATAGCTACGGGAGCGAGTCGTGCGAATGGACAGGTAGAGCGCGTAATGGGCACTATGAAAAATATGCTGACAGCAGTTGAAACGAGCGAGCGTTCCTGGCAAGAAGCATTAGATGAAGTACAGTTGGCCATAAATTGCACGACAAATCGAGTAACAAAAGTTAGTCCATTGGAATTATTGATAGGCAAAGAGGCTAGACCACTAGGCTTAGTGCCAATGATAAATGAAGAAAAAGTTGATGTTGATTGTTTAAGAAAGCAGGCCAAAGAAAATATGTTAAAAAATGCTAACTATGATAAAGCTAGATTTGATCAAAATAAGGCAAAGATTGTTAAGCATAAGGTTGGAGATCATGTTTTGCTCAAAAGTGAAGAGCGGCACCAAACAAAGCTTGACCCCAAATTTAAGGGACCGTTTGTCGTGATTGAAGTGCTTGATGGTGACCGATATAAATTAAAGTCCTTGATAAGTAAGAGGACATACAAGTATGCCCATGAGTATTTGCGACCGTTACCAGATAGTCAAGTTACTGCAGAGTTGGAAGATGTGGAGGGTGGTAATGCAGAAGAAGGCATTGGCCAAAGCCCAAGCTCCCACCAGTGACGATGTAGTATTGTCATACACAAGGACCACGCCCGTACCACTAAGTTATACCGATGGCACAAGTGTAGACGGAGGGTGTCTATCATGGCGTGCGGCGCGGTTGTCGTGGTAGAGAACATGTGACTTAAAGTGATCATGTTGCAAGGGCAAGTGGAGTCCATGAGTTGTGGTATGATAGAGAGATATCCAGATGTTCGGGTTTTCGCAGAAGAGTACGAGCTACTGGTTGGCACAGCCGCAAATGTGTGTGAATGCCTGCAAAACCGTCATTTGAAGACACATCTTGCAAAGAAGTGTTAAATAAACGAAGTAACGATAAACTTATGGTAAATTGAAGCGCAATACTTGAATTGATTGACTATATATAGTATAATAAAAAAAAAAAAAAAAAAAAAAAAAAATATTGAGCAAGGCATGAAGCCGACGTTTGAATAAGTTTTGTTCGAATAAGTTTTATTTGAATAAGTTTTGTTTTGCTAATTTCATTATGATAAGATACTACACGAGGACGTGTAAGAGCCAGGAAGGCCGTGTAGAAGAATAACACTAAATAAAGAAATGTAAATCATTAAATGATGTTGTGTGTAAAACAAATACAAAGAGAATGTGTCATGTGATCGGCTTGCAGGCTATAATAAGAGCAGGGTTTAAGAGCAAATATTGCCTTAGCCGAGCAAAGCGCATTGTTGTTGTCTAGGCAGTTGAGAAAAGGAAATGTCAAAGAACAAAAAGGAAGAGTAGAACGAGTAAGACAACGAGCCTCGAGAGAGCAGTGATGCAAGTCAGTCTGCTTCAAGAAGTCAAAGGCAACACTACCAGTGCGAATTGCTGTGCTCACGTAAAGAAAATGGCCGAACAGCGCGTCACGCCGCGCGAATTATCCAACCCTTCTCCGACAAGTACATACATATGTACATACATACAGATGTGGGATGAAAAGCCACAAAGAAAAATTCGATGCCGTACCGGCGTGACTTCGTTGGTCGCGTTGCATTTGCTCATCGCCTTGGGGAAGCAAGAACAACTTGCATTCACACACATACTCGTACATACTGAGACACAAACATGCATGCATGCAAAATTGAGTATCTATAAGCACTTGTCTATAGGATTTATTTTTTACCCTAGAAACAATTTCGTCTTGTAGTTTTTCTCTGGTTATTTTTAACTTATTCGCCATTCGCACTTAAGTGCAAAATGAAATGCATAGAAACCAAAAGGGAAATGTAAAAATACTTTTGGCATGCAAGTCGTTCAGCATCGTTGGCACACACACAAGCAGACAAAAAGTGAAAAACAGTCTGGGACATGTGTTTTTCCAGGCACAGCGCACTATCTTTTTCATAATTTTGCAAGAAACATGAGATTCCTGAGATAAATACCGGACGCACCGTGAGAAAGTTTAAAACAAACACAGACGTTCGCAGAATACATTTGTGCATAAACAAGGAACTTTGCAAACGCAGTAACACGTCCGCGGAGCGTCGCCATCTTGAAATTCGATGGTAAAATAAATAAATTGAACTAACTTGAAAGCCAAGCCTCTCAATCTTTGCACCAAATGCTTATGATAATTTGTTTGTTTATAATTTAATTTTCGTATTGTTGAGTAATCTTTTCGCTTTGTTGCGATGTTGCTGCTACAATTGTGCAAGGTGTTATGCAGTAATTAGACACACCGGCCGGTGGCGAAAACCAAATAATTATTTTCCATAAAAAATAAAGCGATATATTTGTATATATTACAATTTACAAAACGCACGGCACTTATTTCACCAGTTCTTACTCAGAAAATCAATCGATGTTCACAATTTTAAACTAATTTAATGGATTTGGCGGAAGCCGCGGAGCAGGTGCCCTTACCTCGTCGAGCACAAAAACGGAAAGAGCGAAAGCTAGAAACGAACGTTAAACCGAACAAACGAGGAAGGGTACAAAAGTGCAACGGTACAAATAGTCGGTACTGTGCAACAAAAGTAACCGATGAAATGTTTTACTGGCAAAAGTAATCGATACTTTTGCACTTCAATTTAAAAAAGTGTTGCAGCCACATTTCAATGACAGTGGATAAATACAAATATCATCGTTTTTAAACATGCTTTGAATATGTTTTATGTTTTCGCGTTTTTAATGCTAATTCTCGCAAGGTATACAAAGAAAAAATAATTGAATTTCCTGCAAATGTGTTCTAAAAGGTTTCATTCATCAATGTAATATTTCTAAATGTTCATAAAATAAATGAACAATTAAAATAATTTATAATAATTAATTGCGGTGCTCATTGGGGCTTCTCAGTGGCGTCAGTGTAAAAATAAACTAACCTTACCAATTGTTGAAAATATATGATAAAAAAAAATAATTCTTCACTCAAAAAATGGAAAAGGGTGATGTAAATAGTGGAATAGCACGTATAGGAGTATCCAGTTAGTAATCCAACATATAGTGGTTTAATTTATCATTATTATATCCTGAACCTTATATTATTTTAGGGAATTCATTTAAGAATATTTAAAAATTCAATTTACGCGGTTTTAATATTAAGAAGTTACTTACAAATTATACGCACACCAAGCAAATAAAGTAATCGTGAATTTTTATTGATATTGTAATGCTAATGTACGTTTGTATGGGTGGAAGTATCACTCATGTCCATTCGCTGTCGGATTCGTATTCTGGCCAATCTGGTTTGATACCAACAGGAAGCTTCTGTTGCTCCAGGTACACATTGAACTGCTCTGGAATTGACATAAATTTGCGAATCTTCATGCGAAACTGCTTCCACGTCCATTGGCCGTGGTTGCGGCGATCGGTAACCATAGCTTTGTAGTTGAACTTGTGCTTGCTGAGGAAGTATGTGAGTTCTTTTACCACGCCTTTGGGTAGTCTATAGATGAAGTAGTAAGTGTTGATTTCTTAACATATATGTAGAGGCTGTATTAACCTGAATTCTGGGTCGGCACGCTCCTTTGCCAGCGCTTCCAGTTGGTGTACAACATGAACGCGCCTTGGCTGATATTTGGGTCGTTCTTTAGTCGGGAATTCGCCATCCTCTTGTTCATTCTCAACGGTGCTATTTACAATTTTTGCATATTGAAGCCGCTCGCTTTTGTAATTTGGTATAGCCACAGACTTATTGGGATCTTTGGCCAATCCCATTTCTCTGAAGTTAGTTCCGACGCGTTTGTTCTCCATCCACAGTTTCTTCATTACTGGACTGCTCAGTACGACACAAAAAGTCAAGTCACGTTAATATCCTTTTAAAACAACAAGATTTTACTTACTCTTTTATTTTGCCAGTTGACTTGCGAGTTCTGTTCAGTGTTTTTCGATTAACATTGTAGCGATAGGTTTTACGTACGTGGTTCTTGCGAATCTTCATAATGTGATTTGCTATAAACAAGGATTAACTTAATGTTTAACAAAACAACTAGTTTTTCGTCTAACTTGCACGTGTTGCAGTCATTCACAATATATGTATATTTACTAAATGTGTAAAGTTGGCAGCCCTAGGCTATTTATAACGTTCACAATAGTTTTACAAGTTTACGTTTCATGGCTTTTTGTGTCTTAATTCCCGTTTATTAAATGGCACTTTAACATATTCCTTGTCTTTAATTTCACATTGTAGGGCAGTATTGCGTAATAGTTAGCCCGAGAACATTAACTTCAAATATATTCACATACGTATATTAAAAATCAGTATTTTTGTGATTCTAATCTTGGTCACACTGCGGACACCGTAAATATTCTGTTTTTTGTTTGTTGATAATAGAAGATTGAAGATGCGTGATGAGATATTGGATCCCCGGAACTTGGTTAAGAACCGAGAAATACTATATCGTCTGATCATCAGTCAGCTTATGTACGATGGCTTGGAAAAATTTGCCATGGAGCTATCCATGCTGGTTAAGGCGGACCAGTGCGCGCCAAGTGAGCGTCTCCTTCATGTGATGATAGCAGGGATGCAGACTTTGTCGGAAAAGGATCAGAACAATAAGGACGACGTGTTGCCTGGAATTGACTTGGAATTCGAGCCAGACGCATCAGCACTGGCGCCAGAGCCACACTCGTATGAAACCGCGTACGTGACGTCTCACAAGCAAGCTTGCCGGGCTGGTGCCTTTAGCTGCGATGGTTCTCTAGTGGCTACTGGCAGTGTGGATGCAAGCATTAAAATTTTGGACGTGGAAAGAATGTTGGCCAAGTCCGCTCCGGAAGAAGTTGAGCCGGGCCGCGAACAGCAAGGCCATCCAGTTATACGCACTCTCTATGATCATACAGATGAGGTGTCCTATCTAGAGTTCCACCCCAAGGACCATATACTGGCTTCAGCTTCTCGCGACGGCACTGTAAAACTCTTCGACATTGCCAAGCCATCTGTGAAGAAGGCCCATAAAGTCTTCACCGACTGCGAACCGGTACTCTGCCTTTCCTTTCATCCAACTGGCGACTATTTAGCCATCGGCACAGAGCACAATGTGTTGCGCGTCTACGATGTGCAGACGGCCCAGTGTTTTGTGAGCGCCATTCCCTCTCAACAGCATAAATCGGGCGTCACATGCGTGAAGTACTCCCCAACGGCAAAGCTCTACGCCACCGGCAGTTACGATGGTGACATTAAGGTCTGGGATGGTATTAGCGGACGCTGCGTCAATACGATTGCCGAGGCTCATGGCGGGGCGGCCATTTGTTCACTGGAGTTCACGCGCAACGGCAAGGTTCGTATAGCGAATGTTACCTTATTATTCCAGTTGCGTTTTAGCGGCATAAATTAAGATATAAGCTCGGTTGTTGTCTCTTTATGCGAGAGCGTTCCAAGTCGAAACTGCTAGCTGTTCCATGTGAGTTATTCGGTTTCAAATAGCTTCAATTAGTTGGCTGTTCTTGTATACTGCTGAGACTTCATTCAATTGCTGCAAAGCAATCAACACTGTTACCCACTGATTGTTTGTATTTCGTTGCAGTATCTTCTATCCTCGGGCATGGACTCGCTGGTCTATTTGTGGGAGCTCTGTACCAGTCGTCCCATTCAGACCTACACGGGCGCGGGCACCACCGGCAAACAGGAGCATCAGACAGAGGCGGTTTTCAACCACACCGAGGACTATGTGCTGTTTCCGGACGAGGCCACAACATCGCTGTGCTCGTGGAACTCCCGTAATGGCTGTCGGCTGACTTTGAACTCGCTGGGCCACAACGGTCCTGTGCGGTATATAGTCCACTCCCCCAATGCGCCTGCTTTTCTCACTTGCTCCGATGACTTCCGGGCGCGATTCTGGTATCGTCGAGCCACTAATCAATAAGTTTGTTGTAAACCGAATAAAGATATCCCAGATATAAGTACAAATAGGAGTGTCTCGATTTGTGTATATTTGTATTTATTTTCATAGAACTGCTTTTTCTTCGGAGCTTGTAAACTCAATTAAATATATAGTTACAGCTGAATAATATCTAGTTATGCAATTGTTGAGCGCACGTGTTTAGTTTAAGTCGTAATGCTTGCATTAAGTAAACATTAAAAAGAGGTCTAATGCTGAGTAAGTCTATAATTATGATTGTCCTCCCACTTGGGAGTGTTGCGGTGATTGCTTAAGTTAAATATCAGTTGATTGCTTCACTGGAAGTCCTTTGCGCATTTTGTTGTACATTGGAACATGCCTAAGTATTGTTAACATTAGCCTACATAATAAAATATTTTAATGCAAACTAGCCTAATTAAGTAGTTTGTAAATAAGTTTACAACATTTCCACGGACATTGAGCTAGACCCGAGCAGAGGTCCGTGTCCGAATGCCGCGAATATTATTGATAATTGCACAAATAGCCAATGAATCGTTTCTTGTCTTTCAAAGAAATTCAAAATATTCTAGATTGCTTGAGTATTGAAACAAATAAACTCTATCTCTCTATCGTTCTATGCATATATGTATATGCCTATGTATATACAACAAAAACTCTACAAAATCACAATAGAAATCAAAAATGCTAGTTTTGCGTCTAAAATTTCGTGGAAGGAATTATTCCGCCAGGAAGGGAGTTGAAAAGACTTTCAACTTTCTTGTAATTTCTCTAAACTCTTTTTGTTCTAAGTACTTACAAATCGAATGCATACTATATTTCAGCAACGATCCCAAATTTGAATATTTTCTTAAAAACTATATTACTATAAATACCTAACGATACGTTTAATCAGTTAGAACTATATGTATATAAGGCTTTATGGACGGAACATTTTTGTGAATATTCTTGCTTAATTAGTAACTTGCTTAGTAATTGCTTAGAGACACAATTAACTAAATATAGTATAAACGCCCTACTAGTCTACATTTTCTAAAAGTGTTGAGTCGTCGTCGATTTCTAATTCTCTCATACCTTCAGGTATTTCACAGTACGTTATCTTTTCAGCCACTGATTGGGCAGCTTAAGTTTATGCAGCTTTATATTATTCAGTAAACAGATCAGCAGATACTCGAACAGCATTAGTTTTGATCATTATATTCAGTTTAGGGTGCAAATAAAAGCAGATGTCGACAAGAAATCAAAATCATGTAATGTTTAGACCCAGTTGGTTTCATGACTATTCTTAATAGTCAAATAATCAGCCTAAACCCAAAGATCTCATGTTCGAAAATGAAAAAAAAAAATCTCAAATCCACAACTTCCTGCAACTGATCCAATCTTTTCATAAACAAGAACGTTTTTTCTAAAAGCCGGGGTCCACCCGTTCTTAGTGATGAACATTATCAGAAAACGATAAAAAAAAGGTTGGAATTTTTTACTTACGTCATTAAAAACGAATGACACTCGAATGAGATCGTTCCTAAAGGGAAACAGCAACATTCACACCGTGGGATCCATATAACAAATACTGTTTGTGGATTAGCTATAAACTACAGCGATCTGATCTGCTCAGTCTTAAGAGGTTTCTGAAGTCGTGTTGCAATGTTTCGGTTTCAGACAGACAGACATAGCCGACATCGCTATATGGACTGATTCCGTGTGCTCTTACAGAACTGTTTTCAATGATTGCTGTTGGATGTAAAGAACCAGGAGAGGTCCAACTTTAGTTTGCTTACAAATAAAAGAGCCCTATTCAGAATCACCTGATTAGGCACAGTTCTGCCTGCTGTATCAAAAATAAGTCCAAACTGGCTATCTTTCTGGTGTCTGGTGTGTGAACAAGGATTCGCTCCCAATCAGTGGTCGTGTCTAGGTCAAGTCTTTATGTTGCTGTTTGTGCTGTGGTAGCCAGCGGCCGGGTGTTGCCCTCCACGGGGGCACAAGTCGCTGGTGGCGACGGGGATGGCGAGATTTGTATTTCGTTTTTGATGATGACATCGTCCTGCAGGGTCAACATGGCCTCGGCAGCTGCAGCAGGCGGGGACGACGACATGGCTGGTATTCCGAAGTCGCTAATGTCGGGATGATGTTCCTGCTTGACATCCGGCAGCAGCAAGGTGTTGTCTTGATTCTCAAACGTAGGTGGGGGCTGCTGCTCCAGGTCCAGTTGTCGTTGGAACTGCTCCTGCTGCTGCTGTTGTTGTTGCTGCTGCTGGAAGAGCTTTGTGTGCATATCACCGGCAGCCGTCGCCGTTATTAAGTACTTGAGCGGACTGAACGAAACCATATCCTTGGGCGGCGTAAAGTTCTCGTGCGTCATTTTCAAGTGGTTCTTCATCTTGTCTGGGCGTGAGAACTCCTTGGAGCAGACAGGACAGGGGAACACTTTGCGGTGCTTGCCCTCGTGATAGAGAAACGCGTGTCGCTGGAAGCTGTACTTGTTCTTGAACGTCTTCTGCATGTTCTCTTTGGCGCATTCGGTGCACTGATAGACGCCCTCAGAGACGCTCGCATAGCGGAACAAGTCCAGGCCCCGCACGGACATTTCGGTCAGATGCTCGGCTTGATCGTCGATGGTGGACTGCGCCTTCCGACGCACCCGTCTCCGCTGCACGGGCCGGGTGGCAGCATTGCTGCCGGCTGCTGGGGAGGAATCTCCCGCCGCTGTGGCAGCCACGTCGCCAAAACTGTCACCGCCGCAATGCATCGGTGCCTGGTAGCCCGGCAGCCCTGCATTCTCGTCGGCGAGTGTCAGCAGCTCGTGGTCGGGCTCGGATTTGTCCTGGTGATCGCCGCCTTTAAAGAGCAAATCCATATCATCATCCATATACTGACCGGCACCCGTTGGAGAGCCCCGCGATGGCGGTCGCTGCTGCTGCTGCTGTTGTGCCTGAAAGTAGTCGCTGCCGTGCTTGAGCAACGGATTCCGGGCTATGTGCAGGAGCAGCTTGTGACGCAGGTCGCCTGGAGTGCTGCTGTTGGGCGCCTGAAGTCCCTGTCGCTCGGCAGCATTAGCCAGCGATTGCAACGCATCGCAGTTGGGCGCATCGCTCTGCTGCTGACCCTCGGCTCTGGGCTCGTTTATGGCATCGTCAACGTTGGCAGCGCTGGGGTTTGCAGCTGCCACACTACTCTGACTATGGCTGAGGCTGCCTGCCTCGGGATCCTTGGCGCCTCCGCGCAGTTGCTGCTTCAGCAGCGAGTTGCTGCCACTGCCGAGGCTGCTGCTGTTCTTGATGCTGTCGCCGCAGCTGCTGCTCTGTTGCGTTGTTGGCTGGGCCTGTGAGGGCGGATTTATGGCTCGGATTTTCAGTCCCAAGATGGTTGGCAAGTGCAGCGAGGAGGTTGCGCTGCTCTCGCTTTGTGGGCGTGGCTCGCTATCGGGCTTCGCCGATGCCCCTGTCATCGCTGCAGATACAGTCATGGAGCATCCAAATAATCTCTGGGATAGTTCCGGCGCGCTCAGAGCCGCTAGAAGCAAGAAAAAGAAACATTTAATTGCGTTACAGTTATTCTGGTAGGAAAAACTTTAGACTAAACTCTATCCCGATCATGAGTATGGAATGCAGTTTCAAATCCAAAAGCTGATTCTAATCCGAAATCGAATGGGAAATATATGGAAATGAGTTTTAGAGCCAAAACATAGACTCGAAACTAGATCCGCTATGGTCCTAATAGGGTAGGTGTGGTAGATCCAACAGATAATATTTTTCGATCATCATCGCGGTAGAATTGTATATACTTATTTCAAGGAAAGTCTTGCCAGCCCGACATACTCTTTACTGCTTGTGCCCCTCTCTGCCAGAGCTTTTCAACCATCAACTTGTTCGTTAAAGATGTACAGGGAAAACTCCCTTAACGGACACCTCTTTTATCCGGAAACTCTTCGGCGGACACTTTTTCTAAAACATTCGAACGGTGTATAAAGTATTTAAGTATCCCCTTAAGAGAATACTTTGTGAGTGTCCAGCCAAGAGAGTTTTCACTAACTTCCAAGTACCTTTATACTCCACCGAATCTGATCAGTTACCCTATTAGATTATATTTTCATTCAGAAATTTAGCAACGAATTCGTAATCGTACTAATTAGTACTAACTAAGATAATGAGGCTTTATATCGTTTGTAAGAGCACGTTGCTTTGCGTATGGATCAGACAAGTCTATATGCAAATTGTTGTGGATCCCTATCAGATATTTATCCCCCGTGAGGAGCTGTTAAGATCTCGGTGTTCATACGGCCAGACAGATGGACGGTCTTTAGCGATCTGTAGCTATACCAGGGGTCTGTAACGCCTTCTTCTGCGAGGACCGGGTGTAAGATCTTATAAATACTGAAGCTAAGATATCTTTATAAACAAATCAAGTATTCAAATACAAGTCTTTTAGTTTAAGGATTCTCGGTACTGGAACGAACGCATATCTTTACAGTCATGCGTCCCGTCTGTACCGGACCTTTTGGTATTATCGCTAGATCAGGGTGTACCAATAATCAAGTACTTATAAATAGAATAAAACAGCTTTGTTCTTTTTTTCAGTTATTATTATTTTTTTTAGATGTGTGGGTGTGTATTTATTTCTCATCTCCATTTTAGTTAATCATATAATAATTTTTATCATATTCAATCATAAAAATATATATAACAAAAATAGTTATATAGACGATTAATATTGCGTGATTCACTATTTTAAATATATATGTATACATATGTGTCTGTGTGTCAGTGTGTGTGTGTGTGTGTGTGCTGTAAAGTTGATTTGTCTAGTAATTGTAGAATTTCGTTGGAAGCCAGACAATTCTCTCACAAATCCGAATGTCGCTTACGCTACAAAATAAAATGAATAATGTACGAATTTTGGGGAGAGAGCTGTGAGAAAACTGCTGTCTTTGTTAACTTTATCGGGGGGGTTCGCCCCTCGGACTCTAAACATTAGGTAAAAATATAGTACTTTTGTTTGTTTTTTTCACATTCGCTCAATGTATTTGTTGTTGAAATGAACGCCAAAGAGGAGAGATAGTTCTATTATCTCAAGACTTGTGGAGCGATAGGGAAGAAATTCAGCGACTTGTTGGTCGGTGGTCAGTGGTTCGGGGAGTTTGAGGGAGTACGGGAGGCGGCGATCTAAAAACTAAATTGCACTAGCTACCACTAAATAAAGAATTAAAAACAAAAGTGTTTAATAAATTAGCGTGCGCGAATCGTTTGTTATTCCCACTTCTAGATTTAGACGGTTATTAGTTTAGTTTGGGTTTTCGTGTGTTTGGAGCGATTCTGATTGGGGCGAGCAATAAATGAAATGTTTAACTGATTTCGCTTTTGTTTACATTTATTTAACATCTTTTGCTTTTGTTTGTTTGTTTAACTTGGTTTGGAGATCGTTTCGCTTGCCTTTTTATGGCTCTCTAGCCATGGTATGTTTTTGTTTAATGCTTAATGTTTTTGTTTTTTTTTTTAAATTTAGATTTTCTCTGTTCTGTTTTTTTTCTATTCGGTTGTATTCTGTTTTGCTGTTTTGTTGCTCGCTTGTTTATTAAACTGTTTCTCCTTTTGTTCACCTTTATAGTATATATTTTTTATGTTTTATTGCTGCTCATCATTTTTCTTTGGCGATAATTTAAGCCTCGGATATACAATATAAATTTTAATAAATTTATAAATTATTTGCATAGGTTCTGCTTTAGCCTACATTATGTTATTGTTTTTGTTTTTCCCTCTCATTATTGTTGTTGCCGCTTTTACTTTTACTTTGTTTTTGTTTAGTTGCATTATGATTATCGTTAATTAATGGGCACAGCTCGGTCGAAACATTTGCAATCCTTCGTCCTGGCCGTGCTCGCTGCTGCTCTCTGTACGGGTGCAGACTCTAAATTTTAAACTAGCTTCATTTGAAGGCAACAAGGTAGATGTGCATTTGCATTTGCGCTCCCTTCTCACATACATACATACATCATACATCGTAATCGTTAAGCATAAGTTATGGTAATCGTATATGTATATATTCATATATATTATTTAGTGTATATAAATTAATTAATAGGCGTACAACTAGGCGTACAATCCAATGCATCGGAATCTGAATGCATTTATAGACAATGTTTCTCTTCCCATCTATCTTCCTTCCTGTTCTCATTAATTAACTAAAGTGCAATGGATTTAAAATTAGTTTAGAGTTTTCTTCTTCTCTTGTTTGTGGATTGTTTTTTGTAGTTGGGTAACTGTTTTGATTCTCGTTTTCTTTGTAAGGCCGCTGCGGTGTGCAAATAAATGAACATTTCTGCCACATAGTACTACTCATACAAAACAAATGTGTTGTTCCTAAATTTGATTTAATATTTAAGACTATGTATATGCCTATATGCCTAGGGGTGCCATTGCTGTTTATGTTTCAAAAGGCGAGGGAAGGGTGCGGGGCGGTGCCGTGCGCGTGAAACTAAAGCTGAAAACAAGTTTCGGAAAAATTGCACAACATAAAACTTCTTTTGTTTACAAAAAAAAAAAAAAACGAAATGAAATGAATTCGAAAGCGGATGCAGAGATTTCCTTATCCCATTTAAGCTCCGTGTTTGTCATTTTGCGGTAAACGAAATAATAATAATAATAATATAATAATACCCATTTATCCAAGCAAAGAAGATGATAGAAATTAAATCAACTAAAAACAATATTAACAAAAAAAATTCAACTGCTCCCAACCAACCAATCAACAACGCTCACAACAAAACAAGCTATAAGCGAGAAGCGTTTCGAGCGCCTGGCGCTTCGATTTGCTTCCACGGCTTTGTAATCCGTACGTAGCGCTCGTTTCTTGTTCTCCTGCGGATTTTGGAATATGCGCATGCTTGGATCCCCGCATAGATTACTGCGCTGCCGCAGCTGCCGCTCCGGCCGGTGTCGCTGTCGAGGCCGATGCAAGCGGCCCCAGCGAACCGGATGATGAAGATGTGGACGACGAGGATGAGGTGGAGAGCGCATTGCTGTTCGCTGGCAGCGACTGATTGGAGCTCTGCGCATTCAAGTCCGGGGGCGTGGGCGTCGATGCCGCGGAAACGGGCAAAGGCTGGCTGCCGGCCAATGTGGCCAGCGCTGTTGAGGGATTCTCAATCTTGTGTATGATCTTGACGTGCGCCGTCATGTTGTCCTTGCGCGTGAACTCCTTGAAGCAGAAGGGACACGGATAGACCTTCACGTTGCGCTTGTGCGAGGTCACGTAGTGCCGGCAGAAGTTGCTGATGTGCGTGTAGACGCGCGAGCAGACCTTACAGCGGTACGTGTGCTCCCCCTCTTTGGTACAATAGTCACGCACGGAGCCCTCCGCCTCGCCCTCGCCCACATTGCTGCTGAGATTTATTTTGGTCTTGACGGCGGGCGCTACAACGGCCGCATTCAGATTGGGCGTACTGCCGCTCAATGCGCCGCCAGCCTTAAGCTTGAAGCTGTCGCTGCTGCTGTTGTACAGATCGAGGTAGTCCTGGGCGGCGGTGAACTTGACATCGCCGTTCTGCTTGAGCTTGGGGCGCTTGGCCACCTTTGGCTTGGATGCTGTTGACGAGGAGGGCGAGACGAGCGGCGTGGATGAGGCATTCACTTTTCCAATCGGTGTTAACTTGGGAATGCTGACCATCGACTTCAACTGCGGCCCTCCGCCGGCCATGCCAATAATGCTCAGTTTCATGCCACCTGCGGCGGCGGCGGTGGCGGCCATGACCGCAGCTGTGGACTCGGCCTGGTGCTTGCGCTGGGCGGCTATGAGGAACGCCTGCTGGCGGGCCTGCTCGTTCAGGTGGTTGTTGTCGCCGCTCTGATCCTGCGTGGGCGAGCTGTCCGTGAGCGGATTGTATTTGAATTCCACGGGTTCGTCGTATTCATCCAGCATTAGCTGAGGTTCCATGTACGAGGTGTCCATTTGATCGCCATCGCTGTCGTTTCCATCTGAGGTTGGAGGTATGAAGGGGAACCCAAAAAAAAGAAGGAGAGAAATTAACTTTAATGATGTGCTGAAATATCTTCTATCGAATGTATGTATGTGTGTGAGTGTCTGTGTGTGTGCGTGTGTGTGTGCGTGCGTATAATGCAAGAGAAAGGCAAAACACATGACGAGAAAGTTACAAGTTTCAAATCGGATCGGAAAAGCTATAGGGATTTCAAGCCATTTTTGTTGTTGGGTTCGGTTTAGTTTCTTTATTTTCAGTTTCTTTTTAATTCTTTTTCTTTTCTGCTTTCAACTGCAACGCGTTTCGAGTTCGAAAAAGCTTGGAGTGCTTACAAAAGTTCGAGATTCGACTTTATTCATTTCTTGGACGAAATGGGCGTGGTCAACTAATGAGATGCGCTGATTTGTGAACATTTCTGCTTAATGGAGATATCGCATAGTTTCTGTTTCTGTATGGTTTTTGTACGCGGTTTCAGCATTTGAGGCAAATTTGGAAAAAAAGAGTTGCTTACTGTCAGTTGTTTGCTGCAGTTTTGAACTCTGCCCTTCAATTTTCACGTCGGCCATGAATCCCTGTGAGCTCAACCCGATTGATTTTCAACCTCACAATTCTCTTCAGTTTTAGTTTTCGTAATTTGTTATTTCTTTTTTTTTTTTTGATTTTTGATTTTGGTTTTGGATTTGCATTTCTTTCGGCATCATACTAGCATTGGCATTGTAGTTGTTGTTGCTTTGGGAAACTCACCTGCCGACGGAAAACCACTCGTGTATGATGGACGGACGCATCAATGTCGTTCAACGCGCCGAATTCACATTAATTTCTCACTAATTTCACAAACAAAATAACCGACGCGTTTGCTTTTTGTGTTCTCGTTGCTTAACTACTTCCAAATCTATGAAATGCGAAAATCCCTTTTAGCTTTTCCGATATACATATATGATATGTTGTACTTATTCATATTCATTGCATTCTACTTTTCGAACGCTTCATCATTTGCGATATTCGAAAGTTTCATAAATGAGATTCTCGAATGTAATGTAACGTATTTCTTGTGGTTGTTTTTATTGTTTTTGGTTTAGTTTTGGTTTTAGATTTGTGGTTTCTGTGCTGTTTGTTTTCAGAGCTGTGCTTGTTAGCAGCAAGTTCTAGTTTTTTGGTGCACATGATGGTTGGAATATACAAGTAGACGATTTGAGTAATTGACTGACAATATAATGATACGAGTATGTATATCGATATAGGTGGTGGTGGTGACTGCTTACAAGCTAAGGCAGTAAATAAGCTTAAATTAGGAGTATCACTAGATATGTATGTTGGGATGATGTGCACATACAAGTATACACAAGTATACTCGTACAGGGCTGGTTATTATATATTTCTGTATCACAAGGTCATAATCGATATATGTAAATGCGATTAGCATTTAAGCAAATAAATTTGTATTATTTCTGACCATATGAACCTTTCGAATTTAGATGATCTGGAACTTGTAATGAAACTGGACTTACCGGAAGTGCTGTTGTCATCTTGTTGTGTAACGCGTTGCTCCTTAGAGGTCTTGGACCTCTTTGCATGAAGCGAATCGCGACTTGTCTGCATTGGGGAGAGCACTTATTAGAGCACGTTCTTCTTGACATTATGGCTTTAAGTCTATATACTTACATTCATATCATCATTGTTGCCAAACTCCAGCTGATTGTCATCGGAACCATCGTCATTGCCAGAAAAGGAGTCGTTTCCCAGCTTGCCATTGCCTATTTCAGAGTCCTACATGGATGATTAAACGGAGAAACGAATTTGTGAGCTGACTTGGGAGGTTTATGGGTTTTCAAAAAACTTACATTTAACATGCCTTCGCGGTCGAATTCATCGTTGTCATTGCCTGTGCCGTTTGAGCTGCCTGATAATTTGCGCGGGCGTCCCCGCTTGCGTTTGGGCATCAGCACTGAGCTGAGCAACGAGGTCTGTGCTTGGTTAGCCACATTGCTGGCGGCATTGGCCAGCAGATTGGCCTGTGATCGATTGCGCTGAGGCACCAGGTACGGTTGGATGCGCTGTAGCTGCGGTGGAGCCGGTGTGTTTTCTGCGGCTGAAGGTTTGTCGTCATTCACTTCTGTCAGGCCCTTGATCCGGAGGCTCTCGGCTACGCGTAGGAATGCAGTCAGACGTTCCTGATCAACGGACACCTCTCCGCGGTACATAAAATCCAAAAGGGACTTCATATCTGAGTAGGGTACATCCTTCAGGATGACAATAGGGTGCTTTTCCGGATGATTCACGAATAGCGCATTAAAGTATGGACTGCAGGCTGAGAGCACCATCTATATGAGTGGCAAAGAATCCTATAAGGTCAATAATTCTCGATTTATCCAAAATGTAGCTTACCTTGTGTGCTTTTAAATATTGACCTTCGACGGCCAGCGTCACATCTGTGAAGGTTTCTGCATGCAGCAGCTGATCGAAGACGGACAGTAAATTACTTTGATGGTTGTTCCATCGCAAACAAAACCGTTGAGATGCCATCTTCATTTGGAAGCCGTTTTAGGTCTTTTGAGCGCTTGCCAGGGGTGAGTCTCTCTGTGCGTTGTCTTATCGCAACAGTATCAGTGAATAATAATAATGTGTCTATATAGCGTTGGATGAGTGCTCTTTCAAAATAATATATGTATCAAGTGTATATCCTTGGCGTCCTTCAGTGTTCGAAACTTAGGAAATGTGATCAACAGGCAGACAATTCAATTCAGGAATCAGGGATTGCTGAAAAGTATATGTAAACATTCTATAAGTATTTTACCCGTAAAGGAATTGAGGATACAATTATAAATTTCGTTCAAGACATTTTAAAACACATTTTTGTATGTTTTTCAACGATATTATTTAGTCTTTGGCCTTTTAACACATTTGCAAAGGGAGTGATTTCAGACTAATAGGCTCCCAACTAGGGAGCTTTACATAAATTTTAGTTTATTCCCATGCCTAATAATTGATTATTGCTTACAGAGGGCAAATAATGATTCATCACCGTTTATATCATAAGGGCGTACCACCGATATGAAAGGATTGCCCATGAGAAGACTGACTAGTGCTCGAGACTCACAAATTGGACGCAAACCTAATTTCGAATTAACAAATGACCCTATAGGTTAAGAGTCAGTAAAGGTCCCGAGCATTATGCAGGCAGCGAAACAGACAGGAAAAAATAAATGAGGAAATCTAAATGGAAATTTCAAATGTGTTTTGAACGGGCAGATTACAAAAGCAACACACGCAACGATCGTTGCTCGGAGCTTCTGAGTTATTGTGAGTGCGTGTGTGTGTGTGTTCGTTTCATTCTCTGTTGTTCTCTCTATACACATGTTTGTGCGATGACGACTGACTATAGAAACAAGTACATGCATACATACATACGTGCATATATTCGCATGTGTATTGATAGTGTGAGTGTGTTTGTGTGGCGAAAACCAAGTCGGCTTGAATGCTTGCCAAAGGGAGTGGGATCTCAGAGAAAAGCAACAGAAACAACAACAATAGCAATAATGTGAAACGTGTAAAGGAGAGCGCCGTAAATTCAAATTTCAAACAGCCAGCCAGAAAAGCCATAAAAGTAAAGCAGAAAGCTTGGGAAGGCAAACTCGCTATAGAAATTGAGGTATTATCACCTAAGGCTAAGTCTGCTGTGACAAAAAATTTACGGTCACTTTACTGATCACTGATCGGTGCTCCTTTACGCACACGCATACAAACACACACAAATTACAAGCAAACAAAAATTTGACTCCGTGATATTCCTCAGCACTTGTTAATATTTGCGCTCGGGTTATCTTATCTTTGGCTGCTTTATACATTTAATTGGAAATCATGCTTATTTTTTGACAACGACTGTGCGTTCCTTTTGCATATTTCGACAGTAAAGCAACTTGCTTTAAATGTTTCGTTTTCAAAATTTTCTGCTGGTTTTCTTCACATTTGTTTTGACTGTGCGTTCTGTTTGTTTATACTCTGCTTTATCGTAACCGTTCTTGTTTGCTTTTGTTGTGTTTTTCTCATTTTCACTTTGCAGTGCACTTGTTCAAATTTAATTGAATGGGCATGGGGCCTCATTCAACGGCCACGGCAGATAGAGAACACTTGCCGCATATGTGTTTCTACACTCGCTCTAGCACTTGCTGCTCTCTTTTCACACATACACAAAACTGGCACACATACTTAGATAACACACAAGCAATATTGTGTCTAAGAAAGCTTTTAAAGTTCGATACCAGCTTTTGGTTTATTTAATACCCTTCGCTAAAAGGTTAGTGTAGGTATATTGTTTATGATGTGTAAGTTTGTAACATCTATGATTTGAATCGTGGACCACATGTTATAGGTATATATAATATACTATATACCACATTTATCCCTATGATCATCACCACCGATAATGTCAGCTCACTGCATTATATAGTCACAAAATTAATTTCTTTGAAAAATTTGATTATTTATAAATGTATTGATCAAATGCAACAAAGGTAAAAATAATCGTTGTATCAAAAATTAGAAAGAGTAATGATCACATCCGAATAAAGTTGCGTTATAAGACACAGTGAAGGGTACATAGCTTCGGTGCAGACAAAAACCTCGTTGTTTTTTTTTTTGCTTTATAGCAGAGAAAAGTTGGTCACAGTGAGAGTGAGAGCGCGATGTTTTTACTGACTAGTTTCTGCTGATCCGAGCAACGAACGGAACGTAAATTTTATTTTTGTTTTGTAAATGAAATTGATTGTTTTGAATTTGTAATGTTGTAATGGTACGCACTAGACGCTTACGTTGGTTTTTGTAAGTGCTGTTAGTTTCTTAAAACTTTTTTATAAAAATAAAACCGTGTTATTTTTTATTTTCACCAGCGACACGTCCTTACTTGAGCAGGCCTCGCGCACGAATGAACACTGCAAGTCAAAGTCCTCGCGCAGGAAGCCGACTGCGCAGCGCCGCCACATACACACAGAGCGACGCAGCGCACGATAAGCATACGTTGGATAGGGGTGGGAGGGCCTTCGAGATCACTTTACAAAAAAGCAAAATTCATACGCTTATTTTGTACACCCCCCTTTGGTGACGAGTTGTCGGGCACAGTCGCACACACACACACACACAACCCCACACACACATACATTCGGTAGCGACAGGCGACGTATGGAATGAATGGGCGGCTTGTCGTTGGTTAATTTATTTTTCACACTTGTTTGTGTACGAAGGCATATTTCACAATTTAAGTATGTACGATATACATGTACATATGTATGTATAATTTTGTGTTTTTAGTAATTATGTGCACCTTTTTAACTGTGTTTCCTTTTTTTCAGTTTGGTTTAAAGTTAACTTGCTTGTATTTGTTGCTCAATTTCCAAGTGGAAATTTTCACAACGACGAACGAAACGAGACTCTACCGCACGCCAAATTCGTCCGTCTCGCTTGACACCAATACACTGACTGAGCGATCCTCGCGCTCCTAAACGACGCGACAGCGACGGCCAAGCAGCGACGTTGTGGCGTTGCTGCTTCTTCTTCTTGTTCGTTTTGTTGCTGCTATTGCTGTGTATTTCTACACTACAATCCTACATCCGTCGACGTCACAGCCAGCGTAGGCAGCGCAGTTGACGCTTCGCTCTCAAAAGGAACATAAATACAAACACATACAAAGGCGCGCCTTGGCATAGGGCAGATCGCCGCTTGTGTAGAGTTTGCTGGGTCCCCCAAAAGTCTACAGTCGTTTTATTGCTCTCTACTCTGCACTTGCCCAATGTGAGCTTCGCACTTGCTCTCTCTCTCGCTCAGCCGTCAGTCGTCAGTCTGTTGCGCCTTTGACTTTTGAATTTTAATTTCCTTTGCACGCGACGGGCTGACGACGACGGCGTTGACGAAACGGGGTTAAAAAGAAAAACATGATGGAAAAAGCTAGAAAAAAAACTTTGGTTGAGCGCCCCAGCAGCCGTAACCGAGTTTTTATATTTTTGTGTGCATGTATTTTACAATAATTGTAAGGGCAATAGGCGACGATTGGGTTGGGCTGGGACTTGGGCTGGGCGCTGCTTTTGGGTTTTCCATGTATGTATGTATGTAGCTTTTATGGCAGTTGGAAAAACATGTGGAAACTCGAACGAGCGACGCAGGCGTATTGTTTAATTGGAATTTGTTGCGGCTGTATGTTTGTAGTTGTGTGTGTAACATCGCTTGTACATTGTACGTACACACATACATATGTATGTGAAGGAGCGCTAGTTGTGCGTTTGTGTGTGTGGGTGCGCTGATGGCGAACGATTACGTAAGCAACTGTAAATTCTACAAATGGGCAATGGCGGCGAATGGAATCTTGAACTGGAATCCTATTAGAAGTTTGTCATTGGTTTTTTAAAAGCTAGTCTGTCCACACATTTTTATATGTGTGTATGTACATATGTATATATACATACAAATGTATGTATGTATGCCTAGTTATAAACGTGCATATACATATCGTATTAAAATAAGTAATTTGCATAAAGTTTGTTTCTATCAATCTTTTATTTACAATATAACTACAACTTTAATACATATGTATATATGTATGTATTCATATGTATGAATATGTGCTTACTTTACATGAGGGCCCAACTTTGTTGTTGTTCAGATCCTACACACCTAGGTTTGTTGCTGTTTTGGCTTTTTAGTTGCTGACATTGTTGTTGTTTTCATCTATTATTAACTTGCTGACATTAGGCGTAACAGCAAAACCCCTTCCATTCATCCCGCCCCGTTCCACCTACCCTATAACAACGGAAACAAACGTTGCGCCTAAGAGAGTCTCTCGCACACAAACACCTTCGCAAAGATCCGTGCACACACATACACGTACCAGCCATATGTATGCATGTGTGTGAATAGCAAGGCACAAATACAAGCGCCTACTCAGCCCCAGCCCCAGCCCAGGTGAATAGCAACAAATACTCATGCACAGCAACAACAACAATAAAAAGGTAGCCACTGAATCGTAAATTCCTGTTGCTGGCTCGGCTCGGCTCGCTGCCGATGCCTCTGCTTCTGCTGCCTCTGCTGGTGCTGTTGTTGTTTGCCTTGCCCTATTGCGTGCTGTCGGTGGCTTTTTCAGTCTGTTTAATTTTTTTCTACTTTTGGGTTGCTGCTGTTGTTACCATTGTTGTTGTTCTTGTTGCTGCTGCTTTGGTGGAGCTTTGCCACGAACGATCGTTGCTATTGCTATTGTTGTTATTGTTAGCTAGCTGGCTGGCTCTAACCATTGTTGAAGTTTATACTTGTATGTGGTATAGTTCGAAATATATTTCCATTACCCCACTCTATCTTCTAGCTGTAAGAGCTCCTCTCCTTCGTTTGTGGCCTGCTCTCCTGCGCGCCACACTAATTACATATTTATCAGTTACGATGGTATGTTCATACATACAGAAAATAATGTCTACATGGTTCACAAATAGACCTTCATAATTGTGTATAAAGTGGGTTGTGAAAAATAAAGGAGGTGGTTGGCTTTAGTTATGAAATATAGAAGTTGATAATGTACATAAATATACATAAATTCATAGTACCACCCACAGTTAGGTATGAAAAGCTAGTCATTTGTCCTTCTACAGGATACTGTCGATACTATATACATATTATGCATACATATGGGGACGTGTACATACAGCCCTAGAGCTACAAAAAGTTGGCAGCACCCAGTAAAGTTTCGTGAAATGGAACTGTAGGGTATCTCTATTAGAAATCTCCTATTCGGATCTCAACCCATATGAATGACGTGGCATTGTCTCTAACGCCCATGCATGAAACTAGCATGGAAAATGCAACGAGCTTGCGAGGCTTGCGGTGAGGCTCTAGCAGCGCCGACAGCAAGATTTTAAGATGTCTACTATGTGGCCGCCAATTGTTACTCAATATCTTGGGCCTAAAGTAGGTTGCGACGCGTCGCCGCTGTTGTTGTTCTTGTTGCTGCTATCGCAGCCGAGTTTTTGTCTCTGCGGACTTGCAGTTGCCAGCCATGTGGGACTGCCTGCGTGCGTGACACTTTAGAGCAGCAAGTAAAGCATTGCCATGCACATATGGCCTACACATCGCCCCCATAACTGAAAGCCAGCCGCGCAGCCCCTTGCCCACAGGCTGCAGTGCCTGCGATTGCAGCCGCGCTCTCATCGTGGAGCATGCGCCTCTAAGGCTGTGATCAGACAGCCAAATAGTTTGTACACAAATTTGTCGAGCGGCACAAGTAAAAGTTAAGCTTCAACTACAACTATTTTGAATTCTGTAATGAAATAAATTTATAGGCCTGTTGTTCTATGTTTGTTTTAAAGATTTATTTTGTCTTATGAGAAGAACTTCCTTGGGGTTGCATTTTGAAAGCCTGCTTGTAATAAGACGAATTGTGTGCAAACTATATGCATGTCTGACCGTACCTTAAGTGCATGTTTGTATGTATGTATGTATGTATGTGGGTCTGAGTCCATGCCTCTATGTACGAATGTTTGTATGTGCGAGTGCCTGCGTGGCTGTGCTACGCGGCGCTGCGATCGTGTTGGAGCTCCGTCCGTGTCTGTTTGATTTCCTACAAAGCTATTTGCTGTGTAAATAGCGAGTGAGTGAATGAGTTGCTTGAGAGACGTTAGACGTATGTATGTGCTACATACATGCATACATTCATACATACTACTGCCTGCCAACTGTTGATGACTGCGCCAACTGACTAACTGGCCGTGTTCTGCCGCTGTCGCGGTCGCTGCTGCTTGCGCTGCCGATGCCGCAGTTACATTAGCGCGCGGAACAGGTATCGCAGGTTGGCACCAAACACATGTGCCGGCGGCCAACCACAGCCTCACCCCCCTCCCCCAATACTGCTATTGCTACTGCTCGGCTAGGTTCGGTTTTAGCCTCGTTGCGGCCCGCTAACTGCCAACGGCCAACTGTTTCTCGTCGGCTCCTCTAGCGTGCGCTGTGATTTTCTAATGCTTCCTCTGCGCAGCGCTTCTCCTTGCTGCCCTACGTCAATTTGTTGACTGACTCTGAGACGCTTGGCTGTTGGCTCTTTGTACTTTGATTATGGTTTTTTACATACATATGTATATACATACATACATATGTACGTACCTACATTTATTTTCTCGTCTTCGTTTCGTTGTCTAGCAACGACGACTTTTAGTCGCCGCACTCATAAGTCCCGTTGTTATTGTTGTTGTTATTATTATAATTTTTGTCGTCGCTTCCACTCTTTCTCTGGCTTTTGTCCGCAAGTGTAAATTCCTTGGCCACAAAAAGCTTGGCTCAAATGAGCACATCACTAAAAAGGTCGATACATTAGGCGCCCAGCACCTAAAATAAGCTAGAGCTGTAGGCTTTTAGAGCCCCACTAATATATCTCGGCTTTAAAGATTCTGGTAAAAAGGGCGAAACTAGTTTACCACTTCTCGTTGGCGGATGTTTCTATAATGATACGAGTTACAAGGTGCAAAACATTTCCCGGATCTCCACATCAACTGATTAGTTATTGAATATTCATAAACAAAGGCAGACACGTCTCAAGAAAAGCAGACTAGTACGTAGGCTGGTAATTACAACATAAACCCACAAATATTTATTTATTTATTTTTGTTCGTATTATTCGATATATAAGATCTGTCCTGGGGTGGATAGTTATTACATTTTATGAGAACTGCTGGTTCGAGCCCAGAGAGAGAGTCTACTCTGGAACAAACTGTACCGGGCCACACCCACACATATGAAAACACAATACTCATATCAGAAAAACTCTTAACGAGGAAAGAAATTAGTGGCGAAGCAAATATCTCATTCAAATTGTTAGTTTTAATACCAGAAAGTCTGGAAACGATGTTTCGCAAACTCTCACAGATAGTTAACTATACTTAGATCATCTTCGGTACTTGAAACGAAATCCCGAAAGAATTTTATTGCTTTTGGAGAATACCACACCATACTATATATATTAACAATAATGATTTTATTTGTTAATTTGTTATTTTGTATATTCATGGCTGTTTCTTTAGCTGCTGCCCATTGTACATCCATTAATGCGAGGCAATACTCCTACGAGTACGTTCAAACAAGGCAGGTATGGCAACTTTTGTTGTAACTACTTTTGCGGAGGAGTATATACTCGTAGTAAATGAAACAGTATGCGCTCTTCTATGATCGCTCGAACTGTGGAACTGTTTGGCGGGGAAGGGGCCGAGAAAGGGTGCGCAGCAGACCGGGCTGTCATGGCGTATTATGGAGAAGCTTGTTGCTGCGACTGTCGCTTCAGTGAGCTCACCAATCGACGACTGGACTGGCGGCCGACTGCTGGTGACTGATTTGTGGTCGTTGTAAGCAGACGGCAACTTCCAGCTACCAACTTCCAATGGCCAACGGCCAAGTGGGGGACAGGGACCCAAATAGTCGAAGCACGCAAGCGAGTCTGCTTGTTTGGTCGTTGATTACAAAATAGTTTCGCTGACATTTTGTCAACCATAAAATGTTTTGGAGAGCAGGCGTACATATACATTGAACACTGTGGTGCTGGGGCGGCGCAATAGAAGGGCACTTCTTTCGTGCACCACAGTATGTGAGGCCGCGCCGTTGCGGCTTCTCCACTCCCGCGGCCTGACACTGTCAACATTATTGATCTATGCATGTTTTTTCTTCTTCCAGCGCTTCACGCCTCAGCCCACACAGGGGCACTTGGCCCCTCGGTCGTTTGCGCATTAAAGAGCTTTTTATGGTGGTGTCCTTAATTTAGATTTTGAAATGCGGGTCAACAGTGGGTTGCTACGATGCAATGGCTTGTCAAACGGGAAAGTGAACCAACCGGGTAGAACGCTAAAGACGGACAGCCCGACTCTTGTTTACTCTGCACCCAATTTCTCCTATGCCAGCTATAGGACACGAATCAAAATCGGTGGATTTTGATAAAACTACAGATTAACTTTATCTGCGCAGATAGATAAGCCCTAGCTTATCCCAGAAGGGTTCAAAAGTTTTCGATGTTCATACAGTCGGACATACATATCTTGCGAGTACGGGGTATGAAAAGACATTTATAGAATTTATTTTAGAACGCACGAAAAAGGTTTGTTGCTGTTATATCTTCATAAGTAAAAAAAAATCGTTCTTTCTTTCAAGTTATAATAATCTTTTTATGTAAATAAATATAGAATAAATAAAGAATTATGTGTGAAGTCCGAAGATTTATATTTTCTGATATTCGGATATTTGGGTTTTTATTTCATTCGTTTTAGGTACTAGATTAACCTTAATCTTCTCTGTTTGGGACAAAGTTGAAGAAAGAACGCTTAACTTCTACGTATATTATCTGTAATGCTAAACAATTTTCTATGAAAGTTGAAATGATTTGTCGTTATACTGAATTATTTGCGGCCATATTTAAGCTCGAGCTTTTTCAAAGCTATCCGCTCTTTCATTTCCAATTTCATGCGCAGCATACGCTCACGGGAGTCCAACTCAAATTTTTTGATGTCCAGCTCTTTTTCGTGTAGTCGGAGCTCTTTGATTTTGATCTCTCGTTGAAACAGGAATTCCTCACGCTCCTCGTCTTTGCTGGATCTTACACAGAGTCTCTTCGGTGGTGGGCAATCGGAGTTTGTGGACTTGGCAGCTCCATTCATTTGTGAAAAGTTCGTATCGGTTGCGCTGAAAACGCCTGTAATGTTTGGGGTCGGAGATGGCGACAGGGAACGATTCCTCTCTTGTTTGATGAACACTTTAGGCATTGGAACGGTTGATGTGTTCATTGTGTTGGTTTGATTCATATTTTCGTCATTCTCTTCCAATTGCATGGAATCTGTATCAAAGGAGGCACTGCCCACGTCAATAAGTTCGTCCTCCCACGACTCATCTGCCGTTGCAGGTTTGACTAAAGCATTTGCCGTCCCCACTTGATTCAATGCGCTAGCCTTTAGTTTGTTGGGTTCGATTGGATCGTCTGTGCCTTTTGTTAGGCTTGTTCTTGGAGTTGGCGGTGCTGCGTTTTTTAGAATTTCATGCAATTCTCTGTAGTAGGGACAGACTCTAAATGTAATACCTAAAATAGCAGAGGATGCTTGGTTTAGTTTGGCTGCCCAAAGATTAGTTGATTGCTTAAACCTTACTCGGAAGATTTCTGTCGGGCGTTGTGTGTCCTTGAGCAGCTAACACTGATCTCGCCTTCAAATACGAAATTCGCAAATTGCGCACTTTACAACGCACTAGTTTCCAGTCGACAGGAAACTTGTGGTCCCTCGTCAGCTTCTTATAGAATACTGTGCCGTTGGGTTGCTCGAACTCGTTCTCACGCAGGAAGCTCAATATTCTTTGAACTTCGTCGGCCGTCCATTTGCGACGAAACCCGACTTTCTTTATATTTACTTTTCCATCCCCCATCGTTTTTGTCATCTTGAAATGCATCATGATGTGCTTTACGTTTCACTCTCAACAGTTGCTTCAGTACTGATTGCCTCTTTTACTGCCGGGTCCTTCTTATAGTGCTTTATTGTGCGATATTCTACCTACTACCTTCTTGCTTCTGCTCACATGTGTGCGGCCCTTGTACACCAGGTATGATTCCTATTGAGTGTAGTGGTTGCAGAGAAACTTTTTCGCTTTATTTTGTATACCTGCTCTTAGATTAAGGGTATAATTTAAGAGAGTTTGCAAATTTTGTCCCGAGTTTTATGATGCAAAGAGCGGCTGCGATCTTTGCAGCTGTTAACTATATTTTATGAGTGGATTTTCATCGCATTTGCGAAAAGACACCGGGATAGATTTGTAGCACGTACCTTTGCTAAGCTCAACTGATTGAATTCTTTAGTTAGGGCTGTGACTTTTTGTTCTGAGCTAGTTCGATTACTAAGTGTAGAAATCGATCTGTTGCAATTGGTCCTTGATAATAGTTCATTTAGTTCATCTAGTTCACTCACGGGAACAATGAATTTCTTAGTAGTATGGCAGTTCATTATTTATCATTATTAAAGCTTAATTCTGGTGCCGATTTATATGTGTGACTATTCCAGTTATGGCTATAACCTAAACTTAAAGCTGTTGATCAACCAATTTATTAATGATTAATTATCATGCGAAGACGTCTATAGAAATAGATTATCCGATGGTCAACAGGGCACAATTTTTGGATCTACAGATGTATGTACATACATACATATGTCACTGATATGGTGGTTTTTGTGGAAAAATAGTTGTCTTTGCCTCGCCGGGGGTACCCCCACCAAAATATAACTTAATTATGCGTTTAGATTAAGATCTTTAATTTAGTTACTAAGCACTCATTTCAGATCTAGTGGAAGACAAAAATGTAGGAGAACCTGCAACCGAGTTAAGTGTACAAAGTACTTCTTTTACTTGTGTTATATTCGGTTTATATGGTCCATCTTTAATGCTTATCAGCATAAGGAATTACACAAGCACATGTCGCATGGCAATCATACCTTTCCTTCCTAAGAAGTGATTGTGTGTGGTTTCTTAACCAGAACGGCCCTGTTATCAGCGCCAAAGGAAGTGTGTATGTATGGCATACATACATATACATACATACATATACATACATACATATACATACATACATACATATGTACATACATACATACATATACTATTTGTAAGAACGTCATTGTAAAATGTACATGAAAGATAAAACAACTTGGGAGTGTGGAGCAGCCCCAGCTGGTGCAGGTTCGTAGCTCACGTGCACCCATACAGGCAAAACTTTTGACTTTCAAGTGAAAAGAATTTTTGGAAATATAAAACAGCGCCTTGCTAGGAGACGAGTGAGCGCCCGCCGCCATAAAAGCTCCATTCAGCTTGATTGCCTTTGATAAGAACTCGAGCAGTGCGTCAGAAAAGCAAATGCGAGTGTGTGCGGTAGAGAGGGAAAGAGAGCACGAGAGAGGCAGTAAGTGGAAAGAGCGTGGCCAGGCAATGTGATCGCGTGTGAGCGCTGCCTTCCTCCCACATCATCCACAAGATGATGTGTTTTGTTGTTGCCAATGACGCCAACGTTACTCATAGCAGAAAGGCATATACAGTATATATGTATGTACAAACATACGTGCCGCCTCCTTGCTCTCGCATGGATTCAAAAATGAAAATTTATAAATTGGCTCGTGTATTTTTAAACTGACCCAAATATAATGGAGGCTGTTGAATTCAACAAAAATCCTCAGAAAACTATGTATGTACATCCCGGTGCAGGCAAATTCCTAAAAAAGAAAAACAGCTGCGTGTGGAGGGACTGCTTGAAAACAGTCCAAAGTTTGTTAACGTTTGTGTGCGGGAGCCTTATATACATACATATGTACATAAGTGGATGTTTGCGCGCCACCCACCCGTCTCACAAAGCCGTACGAAAGTTTTCTCGAGGATCTCGTGGCCTCAATGCGCAGAAACAAATACATACCTACATACATATATGTATGTATGTATGCGAGAGAAAAACAGCAGCAAGAATAACTTACAAATTTATATATGTACATACATGTGTACATACATACATACTATACTATATACATATAGTATGTGTGCATATGTTTGCATTGCTTTCTTTTCATGCGTTGGCCTGCTGCTCAAGGCGAATTTAGCTGCTGCGTATTTTTGTTTTGTGTTCTCCTTGCTGCTCTCCTGACGAGCCTACTGCGTCAGTGTGTGTGTGTGTATATGTATATATATATATACACACGGCATGGTTAGAGTGGTGTGAGTGTGCTTTTGACGTTTGGCCCCCCTGATAAAATTTTGTGCTGCTTGCTCCTCCACGACACTATAGCCGGGCGCGCACTCAATTAAGCTTATCGCGCACTGTCCGTGCTTATATACGTATACATGTGCTTTTGTGTGCGTGTATGCTTGTATGTGTGTTGGGGATATTTGCGCTGTGAATGTATATGCATATACATACATACATGTGTACATATGTATGTATGTTGGTGAATGTTTGTGTGGCTGAGTGGCCTGCGTTTTTTAGAGGTGACTTTCCGCGTACGTGCATTTGTTTCGCTCCTTGGAGGCTAACGCGGCAGCAGCGAGGAAAATAAATATTTTACGTATGTATCCACGTACATATGTGGTGGCTATTTAATTTGTACGTTTGCCTGCATGTTCAATACGTACATATATATGTACATATGTACATGTACATATATGTTTTTGCTTGCGCAAGCATTGGTCGTGTGCAAATATAGAAGCACCAGCAGCAATGAAAAAATCCTCTTTGAGAGGATTAAAATATACACACACAGCTTTTGCCCCACGCTCGCTCTTCACCGTGTGATTTGTTGGCTACCGCAGTGGAACGAACATGATTGAAATGTAACGTAAGATTAAATTGACCACAAATGTTTATGTTTCTATGAAAATAAAATATTAATAAAGATAAATTTATTATTATTTGATCGAGCATTTTGTCTTTTTGTCATTTATACACTAACTTAACCCAAATAAACGTTTAAAGTCATACTATTTCAAAATAGGATGCACATGAGGATTGAAAAGATTTAAACTCCTGATCGTCAGGCTTATATATGCAAGTGTATGGTGTACTGTTTGAATACTTGATTCGAATCAATGTGCAAGGCAGCAGAAATGTTGTTGCCTGGTCTACCTCTTTCTCTCGTTGGCTTTGCACGGTGTGTTGCCCCATAAACGGACAATGTCCCCTACCAGAGCTTAAGGGTAGCAGCGAAGTCGACGTCGACGTCGACGCCAGATGCGCTGCTTTCAATTACATTTCGTTTGCGTTTTGTAATTGCTTATTTGTGTGTCTTTAGTTGTTTATGCTGATGTTGCCTTTTCTACGCGAAGCGAACCGTACCGAAGGCATCCGCAGACACAGACACAGGCACACAAACACACACACACATACATTCATTGACGGCAGCCACGTAGGCAACCTTAAGTCCAATGCCTGTTCATCCTCACCCGCTCGCACGTACTCTTGCTCTTTCCTTATTTTGTTTAACATTTGCTCGTCTTCGTTGTTCGTTTGTCGTTTACGGTTTGCCTTTTGCACTTTCTGCATGAAAATAGGAAATAACTTTTAGGCACAACAGGGTATAACAGGGCGTATACTTGATGCGGACATTGAGCTTTGGCTGAGAACGCGGACGGCGTTAATTGAATTAGGCAAGTCCAATAAATTGCTGACGGCCGTATGCGGTTGGAAAAGGCTTAAACAGGCAACTTTTTTAATTGCCATAAATGCACACATACTCGTACATACTCGTATGTGATTGTGTGGCTATGATTTGTAAGCACTTTTGGTGACCACTTTTGATCCTTTAAATCACGAGCGGCACAGCCATTTGGTGTCAGATTGATATCATTTTTATGGAGTTTCGTCAGAAAGTCAGGTAGCATAGAACTTCGAAATCTTAAACTGTATTTCGTTTTGTTCTTGCTATCTCCTTTTAATGCTACATTCTTTTGCTCACTCTTTCCTCAAATTACGAAACATATTTTGGTCACTGACCCTTTCTTTTTGCCTTCGTCTGACTTTTTGTTTGTGTTCCACTTTCGAGTTTTGTTTTTTGTTCAGCTTGTTTTGCTTTTTGCAGAAGTTGAACTTTTCCTTGGGATCGTGTTGTTGCTCGTTTGGATCAAAGGGTTGTGCGATTATCTTATGATGCTTGTAGCTTTTTAAGAAATGTATTTTTGTTTTGCAAAGTGAAAATAATATGAAATAAAAGTAGCCCCAGAACACATTTTATAAATATATACTTGTATATTATAATTTTTCGCATGGAATCTGTTAATGAAGATTTGAACATATGTATTTATAATAATATTTTGTATCGGTAGACAAGGGCAAAGTACTGGGAGCCCTTTAATATGTAGCCCTGTACATATGTAAGTATGTACTTATGTAGGTACGAGCGATAAAAATCAGAGAATGAAAGAAACACCGGCTCCAACAACGACAGTATCAGAAAAAGTAGGGGGTTGCGAGGCGAGTAAAAATAAGAGCACTGCGCAGAGCCCAAAAAATAGTATGACTGAATGAGGAATAAGGAATCGCCATAGCATGGATATGGTTAAGCGCATTGTCAACAACTTTTTTTTGGCCTAAACGAAGCGGTATACAGAAAGGAACGCATAACTGCCTGTACACAGCTGCGTCTGCTAAAAAAAGAAAATGAAACAAAATACATATGTATGTACATTCATACATATATGTGAATATGTAAGTATGTGTTGTGCCTTAACAAAAATTAAGGAGCGTATTGTGTGTGGTGCAATCTTGAACGAAAGAAAACAGTTCTTGGTGTAGAAAAAACATGTGAAATTTATGAATAAATGCAGGAAATTATTAAGAAAAAAATAAAGAATAAACACACGTTGCCGCAGCAAACAAACACCCTCCGAAACGCCCGCATCAACAAGTGACGATAGCATTTTACCGTATTTACCTATGAGAGCGGCCATTTATAAGAAGAGAAAGAGAGAACAAATGAGCGAGCGTCTTTGAGTATACAAGTATGTGTGAGAGTGTGCGATTTTGTTTGCATGTGGGCGGCGTTGCGTATACGCCGCATGTGACGAGTGACTTTTACTTTAGATGGCAGTCCTCACACACAATCATGCATACTTACATACATATGTACATGTTTATTATTGTTGGCTTTTACCACTGCAGCAGCAGTAGCAGCAGAAATAACAACAACTCCACACAAGGCTCATTAAAAAAATGTTAGTCATGCTGAACGAAGTCTCTACTTGCACGCGTATGAGTGTGTTTGTGTGTGTGCATGTGTGAGTGCATGTGTGAGTGATCGACTGCGCTTGAGTTCCACTTAACTGTTTTGGCCGGTAACCGGCGCACCAAACAGTTAGCCATAATTTGAGCATAATTTAGATATTTGTCTCTTGAACAGAAACGTAATAACGCGCTCAGAGAGCTCCCACTCTCTCTTCCTCTCTCTATTTCTAATGTCATTTTAAATTTGCCTCAATTGTTGTTTTTGCTTGTGTCGTTTCATCAACAAAACAACAACATTTATGTACATACATACAAATGCATGCGTCTATGTACATCTGTATGTATGGAAGTGCGATCGGTGTTTTGTTTTTGTTTGCTTTAAATTTCCTTTGCGTTTGTGCTCATTGCAATATCATAACCCACGATTGTTGCTGTGGCTACTGTAGCTACGGCTGTGGGCTATGTGAGAAGTGGGTTAAGCTGGTAAACAACTAATGGAGATTGTTTTTTTTTATATACATATCTATGTATATGTACGAGTATGTACTACATGCATACATAAAAACATATCTATTATTTAGAGTCTGTACTCGTATGTATGTACATACTATATATGCGATATTAATGTGATTTGCATACTTTTTTTGCCCACAATTAATATTTTTCTGCTCTTGCTAGTGGTTTCTAGGCGTTGTTGGCACAGGTGTCAGAGTTGTCGTGCGCCAGGGTTGCTGCCATAGCGGAAGTGGTCGGCTGAATGTGAGACGCAATAAGCGCGGCTTGTAATGGCGTAGTTCAATTGATGCCGATAGACATGCACACATACATACATACAAATCTATATACATATGTACATACAAACACGCTTACATGCTGTGCAGCATACACTACTTACAACAACAACAACAACACCAACACACTCTCATTCATTCATTTAACAATTGCTGGAGCGATCACTCATAGATCGGCATGCTAGCGTCCACCGAGCGGGTTGAGTGAGGAGAAATGTTTTTAGCAGCCGTCACCGCACGCGAATTGGGGATCCGTTTAGCCCCATCCATCCCCCTTATCATTCAGCGACGACAGAAATCAGGGGTGCGGCCGGCAGTTGGTCTGTCGTTGTTGCCTCTGTGGTAGCAACAAAATGTGGAAACCAACAAAAAAATTAAAAAGGAAATGGGAGACTGAAAATGACAAAGATCACTGAAGCAAAACCGAAACGCAACAGCACAACAACTACGAACTTGTGTCTATGTATCTATGTGTGGTAGATACTCCCCACAGTTGTATCTGCCATGAGTGGATATGCGAACGTATACATACAAATGCATCTATACATATGTATACATAGATACAAATGTATGTACGTGTGTCTATGAAAAACAAAGTGCCTGGTTGCCTGTGATTTGCACACACCCACACATGCATATACTAGTGCTATGGGGATATAGTTACAAAAAATACATCTGTAATAACTAGTGGAAAAGCCCCATAAATAAACAATATTTGTTGCTATATCCCTATCGAGTTTGTTTTGATATTGTACCGCAAACATTTCCCAATACGGGTGGTTTTCAAAGTAAAAATCCCATCCATGCTGAAAATATCTTGGCAAATTGCAAACAATATTTCGATATTTAATGCACTTAGTCCTCAAGAGCTGGCAGACTTCTTCCATCTGAATCGGATGATGAAGGAACTATGAAATGAAAACGTCGTCCTTATTGCAGACGTGGGCATAAAAACGGAATCGAATTCACTTATTACTCTTGGGGTCTATAAGATTTATTCATATTTAAAATTCTCAAATTCTCGCTTCTTAAATTCTCAGTATTATACTGTTTTCGTACACTACTTTTACCAATATTCCAATAAATGGGTTTCAATAGGTTCTCACCAACCTTCTGATATGCAAATCTTGTATTTTAACATTAAATATAGATGGAGTTCTGAATAACTCTAATTAAAATTATACTGTAACTGTCGCAATTTTGTTAACTGTAGTTAGATATGTGCAAGCAATATGAACAACCAGTTCTGGGTAAAATCAAGTCGCGAAATTCTAGGTAAAATGCCCAGAGATTGACACGTCATAGCGAATTGGACGATCGGTTCTAAATTTTCAATGGGAAACTAGTATTCAGCTGGCAACGACTACTTGAAATCGCGGTATCTATTTTTGGAGCATATAATTGAAAATGACAGTATTTGCTCCGAGAGCCACTGGAAAGTATAACTTACCGATTCTTAGAAGCTGCATAATCCGCATGGAATTTGAGTATATGTTTTAGTTTGTGGCAAAGTTTACAACACCAATAATAAACACTTGATCACTTTTGATTTTGGCTTTAGGGGGTTGTTTTTAGTACATTTTTGGTTTATCGTTGTTTTTTTTTTAAGTTTATTTGTGTTTTTTGATTTTGTTGTTATTGCAAATAAAATTGAAATACGAATTGCACACAAGAGCGGGAAACGTTCATTGAAATTAAGAATGAAAACAAAACAAAATGCAAAATAAGAATTTGCAACAGAGCTGAGACGCCGCGTATAACGAACGGCGGCCTACGAACCTCCAATCAGAACTGAAAACGTAGGGATGTCGTCGTAGTCGTTGTCCCTGAACGTTTGTTGGTTCGGCAACGGCAATGGCAGCACGAACGCGGCCCGAATCGCCGACGAGAGCGCAAAGCGAAGCCGAGCGTCGCGCAACGATCACGACTAGGTAGGGGCCTGTTGGGCGGTGGGCGGCAGATTTCGACGGGGTCTATATGTATTTATTTATGTATGTAAGTTTGTATATTTGTATGCTATTGCCACGATGACGACGACAACGGCAACGGCGTTGGCGACGGACACGCGCGCCTTGTTTTATGAAAAAGGCGAACGCAATGAAGAAATCGTCGCTCTGTGCGCGGTTTTTTTTTGTTACTTGAGGGTCGGTTTCGATGTCGATGTCGCCGCCGATGGGTGGATAATAATATCGCCAGAGTTGCGCCTTAGCTGCTGTTGTTTGTGGTGCTCCCGTTTCACGTTTTGTAATGGCGAGTTTCAAATGTGTTGTTGTTAGGTGCGCGCGCGTATGTGTGTGTGAAGCCTTCGTGGGCTATTCCATGACAAAAAACAAAAACTTATCTTGGATGGATGTGGACGGACGAGCGGATAAAATGGAATGGAATGAAATGAGCGTTTGAATTGCTCCGATGGGTAAGCAAAAGCTGGCTGCGCCAAAGCGTCGCAGTCGACAGCGTCTACTCGCGCTCTACACGAAACACGAATATGCTTCACATACACACATACGTATGCTTAGAGAGGAAGAGAGCCCCAACTACATGCATATATACTTGGCATTTAGACTACTCACGCACACATGCGCAGCCTGCCGTTGCGTTGGCGCTCTGCGCTTACCGCCTGGCCCCATTGGGGGCAAGCACAACACACCCTTATGCTCTCGCTCTCTCTCTCTCCTGCTGATAAGCGTTCCGCCTGAGACTCGCGCTTGTTTTGAAATCAACTGCGCCGCTCGCTCCCATTTGGCTTCCTTCGTTGCTCATTTTGTGACCTGCTGCGGCCCCCAGGCCCTCACCGTGGGCAATAGCTATGATACAAAGAAGATAGAAGGTTTGACAATGCGCATGCCCGTTATTCGGTATTCTTTTCGTGTGACGTCAAAATGTTTTCAATTCGACTGTTTGGTGCTACTACGTGTAGTTAAATTAAAAATCACTATTATTATGTAGCCATTTAATTTTAAATTTGTGTGCGATATGCAATTCTGCAATAAATATTAAACGTCACACAGTGGGTGGGACAGAACACGTAAATTTAAAGCTCTGCCAGCTCACTTCTATGTAGCTTACTCGGGGCATAATATAACGCAACAGTGGCGTTGCAAGAGTAGTAAGTTTCTACTTTTAATGCCATACCTTTTCTCTTTTTACCATGGTGCGAATGCTGTCTCAGCGCATTTCGAAAAATGACAACAATGCAGTTTTATGATGGTGACGGCGTCAGCTCGTCCTCGTTTCGTTTCTTTTCTGCTTCTTCCACTTTTTGGTCGCTGGTTTTGTCTGCAGACCTCCATTGCAGTTGCATTGCATGCTCAGCATTTTTTCTTCATTTTCAATAGAGTTCACTGAGTTGCCCTCTCTTCCTCTTTTCTTTCTCTATAGATCTTATAGTGGGTGGGTGGCCGGCTGGGGACGGTGATCTTTGGGTTGGTTTATTTCGCCCGCGTGTGCAAATTGAATACATTTTGATAAAGTTTCTGAAGCTGAACTTGAGTTGACGACAGCCACAACGCTGACAACCACAAGTGGTCTATCGCATATAAAAATAGTGACAGGGAAATTTGTTGCCGTTGTCATTGCCTTTGCCTGCGCCGGGCGCTGGTACATTCCAAATGCAGCTCTAACTATTTTTAAATGCCATCATTAAAAACTGGTTTGATCTGAAGCGTGCCGCTGGCGAGCCAAGCGCACGTCTAACTGAAACCGAAATGATTTGATTTTCCCCGCTCGACGCCAGCAAATCCACACAAGTACCCACTGCATATAATATGTACTCGTATGCACGAGTATGTGTATATGTAGTGTATGCCGTAAGAGTTTTTCGATATCGGGGTTACACTGATCGAGCTTGGCCCACGTATCCACCGGTGGGCAAGGCAATGCACATAACGTTCGCCTTCAAATCCATTTGTGGGCGTTACTTTACCCATAGCTATGCAAGGGGCAGCTTATATCTCGAGACATTTAAAGGATCATTAAGCATGCGGGGTAATCGTTGGTCATTTTTCAAAACAAATTGATTTGCACTCAGCCTACAAAGTACCATGATTCATGAGTCGGATCTGGAATATATGTACTTGTATGTACACACGTGGAATGTAGAGTTTCAGATATGCAGATAGAATGGGCGTAATTCTTTTACTGAAGATTAATTATGATAAACAAGTACCAGTTTTGATTAAGAGCAGTGGTTCCCCATTCTTTCCCGTGTTGACAAATCGTCCACGGAACTAAACAAAAAGTTAAATATAGAAATTATTATTTTTATCTGGTTCGCCAAACTAATTTTAATGTCAACTGTTTTCTTTTCTTTGATTTTTATTCATACTAAGTATATTTCCGTCAAAAAAGTGTGCAAGCTACAGCTACAGAAATGTAGATATTAAAAGTTTGGTGATAAGGCCTATAAAACGAAAAGATGTCGATCGATGGATTTCGAATTTTTTGATGTTGGAGAGGAAAACGTCTAGTCAGCAAACCTATAGTCCACAAACATAGCTAAGCAGATAAATGTTTTCTAAAGTGTTAAATGTCCAGGAAACTGCCTGTTTATCTTCTGGCTAGCTACACCTAGAAGTTATAAGAAAGCAGGCTAAAATGTTGCGGTTGACATCACATCGAAATCTCAGATATTGCGGCTGTGGGAATATCTCCTCTCACCTGAGGCCTATCTTACTTCAATAATAACGACATAAAACGTATCGATTATGAATCATCTTATGTCGCACGCCTGTCATCAGCTACTCAGTGCCCAGTTGTGAGTTTGCCAATTTGAATTAAGTTCCCTTGTGAAAATCCAAGCGGCAGGTATACGCCTATTTAGGCACGAGCCGCTGGGCAGAACCCACTCTTGGGGGCTGGAGATGGAGCTCTGGGACTGCCGCCGACTAACAGGTTTACTGACAGGGGCTTTGAATGTTTTTCCCGCTATTCAAAATGCTTCAACTGATATAAATTAATTGCTTAATTGTTGTTGTTGTTATTCTCAGCCTTTGCGGCATCATTTGATACAAAATTTGCTTTTAATTAAAAAACTCTCCAATAAGCCGAAGAGCGCGAGCGAGGGCGTTTTGTTCGCACTCATACTACTTGTATATGTATGTGTGCGCGCCTGTATGGATATTAGAGTTCGTGTGTGTGTGTGTGACGGCTTGGATCAACCTTCGGAGCTCGTGCGTGGGGGTTTTCTCTCTATTCGCTCGCCTATGCATACACATGTATGTGTGAGTGTGTGTTTGTTTTATTAGACAAAAATCGTGCACTTCGTTAGCCAAATCCGACCGTTGACTAAACCTAAAACGCGTTCTGCGTGGGATTCTCTAATGCGTTGTTTTTGTTGTTGTTATTATTTTTAATTTTATTGTAGTCGAGATCTCAGCCACCGTCACTGATATTTTGATGTTATTTGTTGTTTTAATTTCAAAACTGGTTTTCACTTAACCAACTTGTCCATCAAGGAGTCGAAGTCTAGCATGGTTGGTTATGTTGAAACGAAATTGAATTTGAAGTTGGCAATTAAAAAATGCCGTTTGGGTAACGCCACTGCTGTTTTTATTAATAACTAATTCAGATATTCCTGAACCAAAAAAAGGATTTCCCAAAAATTGCATATATTTTAGAGCAATACAAAAATATATATTAATTGTATTTAAGCCCATTTAATAAACTAGCCTTAATCGATCGATCTTTACACTCGTTGCAAGGAAATGCATTTCTTCTATCCGCTTTGTTTTCCAAGTCCAAGTCGAACAAATTAAAATGCTTGACCTGAATTCCAAGCTCGTCTCAGACCAAACGCACACAACATGCATACATACATACATACAAACGAAGCTCTTTAAAGGCGTTACAGGGAAAATGTGATGGCAAGCCCAGACAGAGTTGCCGAACATGGCCTGGCAACGAACAGACAGATGAAACCTAGGGCTAAGACTCATTGGTTTTGATTTCATAATCAAACGAAAGCCAGGTTAATATCTCGATTTCTGTTTCTCCAGTCCCCCTAATAGGCATGGATTTGCCCTGCAACTTTTCTGATTGTGTGTGTGAATGTACTGGCTGGGGGAATTTGTCTGAGCTCGGGTTGTATAATAAATTGAAATGCAACAAACCGTTGCCCCCGCAGCACATCGTTTGCTGGCTCGATCCTATTTGAGTTGAGCAAAGGTTTCTTGTTAGTCAGACGATAATAATAATAACAACAACAACAGAGACAGGGGCACGCCTGCTGTTCAACCCACCCGGTTGCATTTCAAGTCTCCACTTCAATTATACTTAAGTGGAACTTAATTCTCCACTGGCCATCGCTGCCTCTCCCCTGCATTGCCTTTCGCCTGAGCTTGGCTTTCGCTCTTCTTGTTGGTGTGGAACCGTTTTCGTCTATGCAAAGGCCCTTTCAATGCTGCTTACCTATAAGCCTAACGGTATTGTGTCGGAGTTGGAGTCTCTTCGCACTGGGGCCCTCTAGTATACACATATACATACATATGTTTGTATACATATGTGCACATAAACATAGAAAAATATGTGTGCGTGTGTGTGCGAGTGTGTGGATGTGAAAACTGCCTTTCGGGCCCAAACCCATGCTCTCATCTTGTGCCAGTCGCATTAGGCAGAAGCACAATTGTCGCTTGAACATTTTTTCTCACACTCTCGGAGGAGCTGCCAATGGTAATCTTTGGTTGGCTGGCGGGAAGCTTGCTATAAAAAGCTGACGTAAACTTTTTGTTTTTGTGAAACGCAGAAGGGAGAAAAAGGTTTTGTGGCAATCGCTGTTACCCTCCGTCTTTTGCCTTTTGCCTGTTGCTGCTGCACTTCGCCAACAAGCAAGTAAGCATTGCAAGCCACTGCCTGAGCTGAGCTCGCCTTTAAGGTTCTCACTCAGTTGCTGTCTTGGCTTCGGCCAACAATTTCACTTTGTGGCCGAATAGGTGCCTAGAGTTTATTCTATGGCCCGTTGTGAGACTGTTTTCATTTCCATTTCCATTTTGTTGTCAGTGCCTCGTAAGTTTTATGATGGTGGGATCTAACGGTAAACCAGAAACATGCATACATAGTATATACACTGTGATATAGATATACACATACATACATACATACATACATACATACATACATACATACATAGTTATAGTAGTATGTGTAATAAGACGGCTTTTTCCTGGATATCTTAATTATCGACGACGACATTTTTGTCTCTATTTTATACTTGTATTTCAAATTTTATTTTACTATCTCGCATTTCGTATCCGCTGTATGACAAAATGTTTAGATACTTCGACTTAATGCAATATATCATTACGTATATGTAAAATTTATTGCATATTCACAATGAAAGGATGATAAGGATTAAATGTCCTGAATT